GCTTTAGAGGGAATGCTATAAAATCACTGCAGGGTGCGGGTTCCTCACCGGGCTCTCCACATTGCATAGGTCTAAGGAGCACTGTTGTATTGTAGTCGACTTCCTGGTGTCTCCTGAGGCATAATTTGAAAAGTGCCTTCTGGAATTATTCCACACGGTAGCTCATTTCGCCTTCCATAGCCTTCACCCCCTGCACCCCCCATCTCTTCACTGGACCTATTCTTGCTGAGGTTAACGATCACATTTTATTAAGTCCAGCAGACTGTCCTGTCTTCAGCTCATTTGACATCACTGACCATTGCCTTCTTAAAATGCTTTTCTCCAGCCATCATCTTGCCTTGGCTTTCTTTCTTTTTTTTTGGTACCAGGGATCGAACTCGGGTCCTTGCGCTTGCAAGGCAGGTGGCGGAACCACTGAGCTAAATCCCCGGCCCTTGCCTTGGTTTTTCTTCTTGCTTCTTTGGCTTTTCCTTCACTCTGTCCTTTGTCAGTTTCTCTTCCTCTGCCTGTCCACTGAATATGTGAATCCCCCAGCGTGTTGTCTTCTTTTTTCTTTGAAGCAAAACATTTATTGGTACATTTTAGATATACATAATGATCACGTTCATCATAGGGTATCTGTTCCTGTACATGATAGATCTTGGTTCTTATGTTTTCCCATTCCCCTCCCCTCCCTTCAGCCCTTCTTCCCTTCCTTATTTACAAAAGCTTTGGTTCCATTTTTTCCTTCTATTCTCTTTTTTTCTTGTCCCTTCTTTCCTTTCCCACTCCCCCCTCCCATGTTCCCCCTCCCATTTGAACATTTTCTTCCCATTTCCCAATATCTAGTATACATTTTGGTCCTTGTTTCCATTTTTGGTTTCTCACACCAGAGAAACAATGCAGTGTTTAAATATGTGTGTTAAATTTATCTCACTTAAGAATATGGTCTCAAAGTGTGTCCATTTAGCTAGAAATGTATCAAACTCATCCTTTTCTATGGCTGAGTAGTACTCCATTGTATAAAAAAACCCACATCTTCTTTATCCATTCATTTATTGATGAGCACTTGGGCTGTTTCCCAGCTTTAGCTATTACAAATTGTGCTGCTATAAATATGGGTGCACATATATTGCTGTGGTATGATGCTTTTAATTCTTTTGGGAAGATACCCAGCAGAGGAATAGCTGGGTCAAATGAAACCTCTGGTCCTAGTTCTTTGAGGTATCTCCACACTGATTTCCACAGTGGTTGCACCAGTCTGCAATCTCACCAACAATGGAGAAGGGTTCCTTTCTCCCCACAACCCCGCCAGCATTTGTTATTGGTTGATTTCTTGATAGCAGCCATACTTTCTGGGGTGAGGTGGAATCTCAGTGTTGTTTTCATCTGCATCTCTTGATGACCAGTGATGTTGAACATTTTTTCATATATTTATTTGCTGCTTCTACTTCTTCATCTCAGAAGTGTCAGAAGGGTCTGGTTTTTTGAGTTCTTCATATATTCTAGTTACTAGCTCTTTGTCTGAGGAACAGCTGGAAAAAATTCTTTCCCTCACAGTGGGTTGTCTCTTCAGTCTGTTGGTGATTTCTTTTGCTGTACAAAAGCTTTTTAATGAGATGAGATCCCAGTTGTTGATTCTTTGTGAACAAAACAAAGCTGAAGCAATTGGACATTCATACACAAAAATAAAATCTTAGACACATACCTCACATGTGAAAAAGGAAGGCTCATAAGCTTAAATGGAAAAAGAAAAACATTGACAGGAGTTGCTCAGTGGTGGAGCACATGTCCCACATGCGTGAGGCCCTGGGTTCAGTGCCCAGCACTAAGAAAAGAAAGAAGAGGCTGGGGATGTAGCTCAGTGGTGCCGCCGCCTGCCTCCCAAGCACAAGGTCCCAACTTCGATCCCCCGTACCAAAAAAGAAAGAAGCAAAAGGAACTAATGGGTATTTTTTGTTTATAAATAGTTAAGAGTATAAGCAAGATTGATTGATGGGGATAGAAAGAGGCAGCTCTCTGGGGAGACCCTGTGTCTCAGACACTGTGTACCCTAGGGTGTGAGCTGGGATGGCAGCATAGAGGTTCCAGGTGGGCAGGCCGTGCAGCTGTCCTGCAGGGGACTGTGTCTTGGAGGGGGGTCACAGGAGTATGTCACAATTCTTCAGCCTATAAATCTAAGATTAGTACACTTTCCCTATTTTACTGCATCAGGGAAAAAACCTTTAGTGGTTTCTTATTGGTTTTAAAGTCTAAAATCCTGATTAGACAGTAGTTTATAAGTCTGAGTGACCCGTTTCCTGCCTACTTCTCCAGTTTCATTTCCCTACCCTTAAGCTCCTGTCACAGGGCCTTTGCACACCCCACTCCCTCCCCCAGGAGGGCTCCTTCCCCACGCACCTTCTCTCAGCTAACCCTTCATTGTTCATCAGTGGCATCAAACATTTCCTCTGGGACATTTCTTGGTCTCCAGGGCTAGGTTAGGTCCCTAACTACATGTTGTGTGTCTTAGGTCACAGTAATCTTTTAGAAGCACCAGAACCTGCTGAATCAGGTCTGCGTGTTTGCTGTTTTACCTTAAGATGTCTGGAATAGTAACTACTCATTTCACATTTTCCAAGTACTAAACTTGAAATGAGTCTTAGATTAATTTAACAAAGTCTGAAAATAGGCCACAAAACAAGCGCTGGGGTACAAGGCCATGAGCACAACCCGCTCACTGTCTCCAAGGGCAGGCCAACCACCCACCGTTCCACGTCCCTGTTGCAAAGCCTCCCCTCGAGCTCCCGGCTCCCAGCTTTCATCCACTAATCACGGGATTATTGTGACGTAGCAACATACGGATGCTCTCTCAGCATAATAAAATCAACGTACCCTGGGCCGGCGATTTAGCTCAGTGGTTCCGCCACCTGCGTCACAAGCGCAAGGACCTGAGTTCAATCCCCGGTACCAAAAAAAAAAAATCACAAATCAACGTGTCCTTTCTGCCCTGCTTAGTGAGAAAATGTTAAACCCATTGCCAACGTCTATTGCGATTTAACATTGTTCTGAAGGTCCTAGGCCATGAAGTTAGGTAAGATTTCAACTACTAGAAGTATAAAAATTAGGAGAGAGATTTCACATTATTTTTAGGTGATAACCTCAGAGAATTTTTAACATACTATTACAGATGAGAGAATTCAGTGCGTGGCTGGGTTAAAAAAATTAAGAGATGATCTCACTGCAATAGCACAAAGAGAAAACACCTATGAATGGACCTAAGGAGACGCTCAAGATCTAGGGTCAGAAAACATTAGAATGCTACGCAGCACAAATAGGAAGCTATCAGCACGCAAGAAGGTGTACCGCGCTCTCTGCAGGAAGCGCTCACACCGGGTGACCCCAGGTGCCCGAATGAGTCTATTCATTTAAAGTAGCCTCAGTCCAAACACCAGTAAAACTTTGCTACTGACAGCACAAGCAGCTACAACCCTAAATTTGAGCACTGTCCAGTGGCACTGTGCCTTACAGCCTTTTCTTTCTTTTTTTTTTTTTTTGGTACCAGGGCTCAAACTTGGGACCTTGCACTTTCGAGGCAGGCACCAGAACCACTAAGCTAAATCCCCAGCCTTAGAACCTTTTCTTTAGAACCTGTCCTTTTACTTTGCTGGGAAATGTAACTTTTCATCTAAGTGCACTGGAACAATTATGAATGAAAACACGAAGAATTCTGGTCGTGTGGCTGTTGCACACCTGGGCAGGGTGAGGATGTCTCCGTGTAGATGCAGCTCACCACCCAGCACTGCTCACAAGGGGAGGCTGGACCCCCTGCTTTCTCAGGCATCTTGAATAACCCATCACTGGGCCCAGGCCACTCCTGGGGCTGATGTCTGGCTGCTGCACCATCCTGAAGAACGCCAGCAACAGTCCTAGCTCTGGATCTGCAGCAGTGACCTTTTATGGAAGGAGAAGTCAGCTGGCAGCCGTTCCCCTGCAATCCTTCAAGCAGGGCTCGCCTCCCGCCACTGAGCACTGTGTATGACCACTGTGTATGACTGGGTAGCGGGTGTGGGGGCAAACATTCCTAATAAGAGCTAGAGAAAGGCGTGCGTGTCTTCCCGTCACCAGAGATAGAACCTGAGGCCCCTGCAGAGCTCACCCTCGGCCACTCCCCCGCCCTTCTTTTTCCATAGGGCCTTTCTGTGTAGCCCAGGCTGACCTTGAACTCCTGATCCTCCTGCCTTGACTCCTGGGGGCTGGGTTCCAGTTCTGCACCACCAGGCCCAGCGCTAGAGAAGTCTTAAAGTTCTTTTTGGGGAAAAGAGAAAATGAGATAAAAACATAATCACAAGGGCTGGGGATTTAGCTCAGTGGTTTCACTGCCTGCTGTGCAAGCGCAAGGACCCGATTTCCATCCTGGGTACCAAAAAAAAACCAAAACCCATAACCATAAGGTGCTCCTTCCAGATGTCAGTTCCGCACAGAGTGTGAGGTTGGCCTCTTTCCCTCCGGCCAGCTGGCCAGCCTGGGTCACTGGCGTGCAGGGTGCGAGAGCTCTGAGGGAGGAAGCCCCCAGGGCTGGGGTGTGACCCAGCCCAGGGCTTGCCCACAGTGCTGCCTGGGCTACACCCCTAGAATGGCGAAAACAAAAACAAAAACACACCCAGCCCCCAAGCCAAACAAAGCCTGGAGGTGTTGGTTATGAAGTTATTACCACTATAGCCAGACTAGCAAGGTGCAAAACCCAGCTTTGCCATTTGCAGCTGAACTGGGCAAGTTACTGACCCTCTCCTGCCTCAGTTTCCTCATTTGTTGGCTAAGAACAGGATCTGCCTCAGAGGGGTGTTGTGAGGATTAAAGATGTGACTATTAAAGGCATCCTGGATACTTCCTGCACTGTTAGCTGTTGCTGGCTGATGCTGCTGTTGCCTGAACTGCATACCCAGGTCCCCAGAGAGATCCCTGAGTGGGTTGACCGTCTGCCCTCTGCTGTGACACTGTCCTAGTGGACCTGGGCTGTGTATAAACCCCAAGAAAATACCTGGGTCTCAATCTCCTTTTTATTTGTATGTGGTTACAATTTATAAATACACTCGTCATTTTCCTCCATTCCCAAACTCTTCCCCCATACCTGTAGCCCTACCCAACCCCCGTGTGACCGACCCATCTCCCCTCCTCCTCCAGGAGGCAGGGGCAGGCGATCCTCCGTGCAACCTCATCTGCACCTGGGGTCCAGCTTGGTCGGCGTGAAGTACGGAGCCTCAAAGGCCGCTGAAGCTTGGGGCCAAGCACCACGAGTCCCCGGAGGTTCCGAGGATGTCCTTGTGGGTGACAGACCGTGTGGCCAGCTCCCCTCGGTGCCGTGCTCGGGGTGTGGAGTGCTGTGGTGGCCAGCAGTTAGAGCCCGGGCCCCATGGGTGGCCCAGGCTGAGTGGGTGTGGCCCCTTGGGGCAGTGGGTCAGTACTAGGTCACAGCCTGGCCAGGCAGGGCTGAGAGTCTGGCAGGGGCGGTCCCAGCTGGGGTCTGACGCTCTCTAAGTATCTGAGGCCTGGTCCCTTGGGGCTGTGCCCAAAGAGCCTGCCCAGCCCCATGAGTCCTGTGGGTGGGCAGCCTCGGGAGGCAGCTCTCAGCCCCTCTCCTCTCGCTCCCCGGACACCATCGGGCGAGGGTGACGACTGCTCTTGGGCCTGGTCAGAGCGCGTGGCACCCCAGTGTCTCTGTCTCGGCCAGATGCCAAGCTTTGCCGTCTTCCTGGTAGGGCACAGACAGCTGCGAAGGGCCGGAAGCACCCTCTTCAGGAGTGGGGTACGGAGGCTCGGGGGAAGCCGGGGGGTCTCCCGGGCCCCGCGCTCCCCCCAGCACCGGCCCATTGTAGATGTAGATGTTGCCAGTGACGGTCACAGAGCCCCCGGTGACATGAATGCCGCTGGCACCTGTGGGAAGGAAGCAGGTGAGGGAAGGCCCCACGTGGGCACACGGCTGCTCAGACCCCACCACCCGCCTGCTCCCACTCCTGGGTTTCCAGCTTCCAGTCTCCCGGGTCGGGTGCTGGCCGCTGTCAGGTTCTGTCCCTCGACGTGGTGTTTCTGCTCCTTCTGGCCACACTCTCCCTCCTTCGCAGCCCTCCTGCCTCTGCCTGTCCGACTTACTCACCGTGGGCCACCTGGCTCTGCTCCCCCAACTCAGCCTCCGGCTCCCTGGTCTGGTTCAGAGGACACTGCTGCTGCTGCGGCACCACTTCCTCCTGAGGTGGGTGTCCTGGGGGTCGGGTGGGGCCCGGGGACAGATCTCCAGAGACGGGCAGTAGTGGCTTCACCAAGTCAGGGACATGAGGGCTGGCCCTTGGAAGGGGGCAGGAGGGGGATTCTTCTCCCTGTGGAAGAGCGTCAGAGAACCAACCACTGATGAGGGGCCCAGACCCCATCTCACCCCACTCCTGACTTTGGTGACTCCTGCATTCTCTGCTCCCCGAGAAGCCCCTGCCTCAGGCCCTTTGCACGGACTTTCCCCCAGCTCCCTGGCTGGCTCCCTCACTTTCTCAGCTCTCTGCTCAAATATCAGCATATGGAGAGGCCTTCTCGCCTGCTCTGTCTGAAACAACACACCCTCACCCTTTACCCCATTCGTATTTAACTTTATTCTCCCTGGTAGCTAGTAAACTCCAGGCGGGAAGGTACCTGGCCCCCACCCGTGCCTGGCCCTGTGCCTGGCACATGGTGCGCTCACTAAACCATCAGCTGGGCTCACCCTGCGCTCTTCTGTCCCCCCACCCCCGCCCCATTACCTCTGGACGGCTCTTGAGCAGCAATCCTGCAACAAAAATCAAAATGGGGGAGAGGCCTCAGCACCCGCCTTCCACCACCCTGGACTCCAGCCTGGGACGCTATTATCTTCCCTCCTCTGGAGCCCGGGCTGGGGAGAGTAGCGGGTGGTGGGGAGCAGGGTTCAGTCCTGGGGGCTGGAGGGGGCGGAAGGTTTGTCCCTCCCCCAGCCTGGCTTCTTACCCAGCTTTCTGCAGAGAGAAGGGTGGCTCTTCCAGGTGCAGGCGGCCACAGTGGTGAGCAGCAGAAGGGAGAGCAGGGGCAGCAGGATGGCCAGCACCAGCATCGTGCCTGCTGGACGGCAGGAGAGGGTGATGGCCGGAAGGGCAGGGGAGGAAGCTGAGGAGGGGCTTCCTGTCCTTTGGGCAACCCAGAGAGGGAAAGGGGGAGCAGCTCTTTCCTCTGGCCATACTGCAGACCTGGAGCCAGTTCCTGTGGGCTACAGAGGAGCCCTGAGCTGGGCTTGGGGGCCCCAATCCCGGATGGAGAGGCCTGGGGTGCTGCAGGAGGACCCTGCTCAGAGACTGGGATTGAGGCAGGGTGAGGGAGCTAGGGCAAGTGCTCTTTGAGGGCCGCAGGTAGTAGGGCAACGTGGGGCCGGGGTTGTAAACAGTCTTGGTCCACAGGCTGGAGCCATATTTCTGAGGGGAGTGTACAGGGGTGGCCGGCCGGGGAGCCCCACTTCCGAGCTCTGCCAGTGGAAGTTCTCTGTCCCCTTGCTCGGGGCTGGTTTGGAAGGAGGACGGGGGCGGTGGGAGTTTGCTCTCTGCAACCTGATCTGTCCTGTGGACACTGTCTGTCCTGCTGTGGGCTCAGTCTGCCATCCAGAGCATGGAGTCAACAGTGCTCATCCGTGTTGCTTGGGGAAGGTTAGGGGCTTGGGTGTTTACCCTGTGAGTTCTGTTCACTGTTTGTAGTATCCAAGATTGAACCCCAGGGAGCTCTGCCACAGAGGTACATCCTCAGCTTTTTGCATTTTTTGAGACAGTCTCGCTAAACTGCCCAAGATGGTCTTGAGCTTTCAGTCTTCTTGCCTCAGCCGCCAGAGTGGATTGCAGGTGTGTGCCTGGCACCCGGCTGTGCCCACCCCTTCTGATGCACCTGAGCCTGCAGCCTAAGGGAGCAATGCGGAAGGGGGCGACGGGAGAAACTGGGCCCTGGTCTGGATTCGGGAACCTGGGTTCTGCCTGGCAGTGGGGCTTTAAGGGATTTGGGCATCAGCTTTTCAAGTATAGAATGTGCTGATTAGCTTTCATACCCAAATTCCACGTCTAGAGTGCCAGTCTGTCTGATATATAGTTAAAAATTCCAAGAGAACATGGGAAAATAGGTATGGTACATCGTGGATAGAAAAATTGGATTATAAGGCTGGGGTGTAGCTCAATGGTAGAGCTCCCTGGGGTTCAATCCCGGATACTACAAACAGCTTGCTTAGTACGTGTGAGGCCCTGGGTTCCACCCCGAGTATCCAAAAAACAACAACAAAAAAATCAGGTCATAAACCATTCAAATGATTCCACTGTTAGTGAATAAATTCATATGTATAGATATGCACAGGAAAATGTCTGGGAGGAAATGCACCAGAACATTAAGCGTGGATATATAAACAATGATTCTGTGAGTGAGTTTGTTTTGCTTAACTGCATTTTCTCATTTTCTACAGAGCGTGTGTGTGTGTGTGATGCCGGGGCTTTGGCGTAGACAGACCTGAGTACAGGTCTTAACAACACTGGTTACCACCAGGGTGACTGGCCGTGGGTGGTCACTTACCCCCCCCCCAGCCTCAGTTTCCCCAGGGAGGGTAATAATAGAACCTATGCAGCATGATCAAATAACATGGTGAATGGTTCACTTTTTAAAATATTAATTCCAGTAAAAGACACGCTGCCATGAATCTCCCTGGAGATATTTCCTTGCTTTGAACACACTTATCTCATCTTTCTGCCACTTTCTGAAGCAGTTCTGGAGATCTGTTTTTGCTAGTGTCTTTAACTGTACTGAATCGATATAAAAGGTTTCCCTTTCGTGGTCATTTTGACTCTGGGGAAGAGCCAGCAGTCACATGGTGCCAGATCTGGTGAATTAGGTGGATGAGGGCACACTGTCATGTTGTTACGAGCCTGCCTTTTTAATTGGATGGCACACAGCAGCAGCAGTCACCATATTTTTGACCACACCTTATAAAGATATCCATGAAGGAGGTCCTCCAGAACTGCTTCAGACAGTGGCAAAAAGATGGGATAAGTGTGTTCAAAGCAAGGGGAAGCAAGCCACTTGCTGTGTGAGTGTCTCAAGGGGGTTTAAGGGCAAAGTGTCTTTTACTGTAATAATTTTTTTTATTTGAACACACAATACCATATTTTTTGATCAGCGCTTATATGTCATAGAATCAGTAAGAGTATTACGTGAGATAATGAATAGAAAGTGTTTAGATGGCCTGATGTGCTACTCTCAATAAACAAAAGCTGTAATTAAAAATCTGGTAATTTGAAGAAGCTGGTGAACTGTCAATATGGACTACAGTCATCAGAAACACCCTATAGTCATATCCGCCAGACTAGGAAACTCAGTCCACAGGAAAAAACCAAGAGTGAGTCCAGTGGGGAGAGCATCTCTCCAGCAGCAAGAGCGTATGGCCTCACAGAGAGGCCTGCAGTCCAGGGAATGGATTTTTGATGGAGGCAAGTCTAAAATAACAGCACTAGGCACTGTTCCGCCTCAGTGGAGGGATGCGCCTCACTGGGACACTATCTACAGTTTAAACAGTGCGTGCCCATGGGCAGGGGTAAGCAAGCTAGCCTAGGGGAGCTCCAGGTTCTGGGAGGAGGATTAATCTTTCGCCCTTTCGGGTGAAGAGCATTAGGCATTTGCAGGCCCCACCTCAGGCCCCCAGGCCTGGCCCCTCACCTGGTGTCTTGGGGGGCAGTGGCTCTGGTGGGTTTCTGCAGCTCGTGTCAGACTGGGCAGTGCCTGGGGCTGCCTCCACCAAGCCCCGGTCCTTGCACCTGCAGAGGAAAAGGACTGAGCTCTTCCGCGCCTGCCCACCATGCCCGTTCAAGGGGGCAGCTGGGTGGAAGTGGGAGGCTGCGGCTCTGTGGCACGGCAGCACTCACCTGGTGTGGGGCTGGCAGCGGGCACTGGAGGAGGAGGCGTTCTGGAAGTGCCCTGTCCTGCAGGGGGTGCAGGTGTTGTCGGCCTCCTCATCTCCATCTAGCGAGAGAAAGGCCGGCCAGCCAGGATGAGCGGGTGAGCAGAGCCCAGCTGTGAGAGTCCCTTCAGCCCACCTCATGGCCTCCTGCTTGCCAGCCGGCCATTAGCTCTCACCTCCCTGCACACCCCTACTGCGAGCCTTTTGCATGAATAAGAAGAGGCATCTGATGCCAAGGGGAACTACCCAGGGTCGCCATTGACACGGCAGCACACTACCCACCCTCGCCCAGGGCCACCCGTGCCCACCTAATTCAGGCTGCCCTCTGACCTTGGCGCGAGGCTTCAGTGCCGGGGGGACACTCGGAGAGCGGCTCACAGTGCACACACTCGGTGTCCCAGTGGGCGCAGAACATTCCCGGCTGGCAGCGACACTCCGTCTTGCGAGTGCTGCTGCAAGGCGCAACCTCCAGGAAGCCCAGCACTGATGGGGAGACAGAGCTCAGAGACGGACTGTGCTCCGGGGACCCTGGCCCCGTACCCCACTCACCCAGGTCGCAGGGCCGGCACAGCTGGCAGATGGAGAGGTGGTTCCAGTGCTCGTTGTAGGAATTTTCGGCACACGTGGTACAGACCGTGTTCTGGCTGCGGCTGCATTCGGCTGTGACGAAGGTGCCTAGATGGGGGACAGCAGGTGTTGGGGGTGAGACTATGCCTCACCGCTGCCACGGGCAGTGTGCCCCTTCCCTGCCCCTGGCTCGCTGTCTTCCCACCTCTCCAGGAGGCCCAGTGACCTGGGCAAATGTCAGTGCCCGAAGTGACCCAGGCCAGTGCTTCCTGCTCACTGTCTCTGCCTGTGACTTTTCCCGGGGCAGGGTCCGCCCTCCCTCTGACCCGCCTGTGTCCCGGGCTCCCCTGGGTCTTCGCCTCTCACCTGGAGGACACCGGGAGCAGCAGACCTGATGCTTGGGCTCATAGTACTCCTTCTCCTGGTCCCAGCACGTGCGGTCCTCAGAGCGGTAAGGGGGCACCTTCCAGGGGAGCGAGGCAGAGGAGAGTGAGTCCGGGTCGGCTTGGGAGGGCACCAGGCTGCAGTGGGCTGCCCAGACCCCTGTCCTCCCCTGGCCCTGCCAGCCTCCCCAACCCCTCACCAGCTGGGGCTGGGATGCTGCCAGGAGGCCACAGAGGCCCAGCAGGAGTGGCCCCCAGGCCAGGCCGCAGGGAGAGGCGGCTGGAGGCAGGCGCATGGCGGCACTTGGGCTGGCCGTGCAGCAGATGGGTGGAGGCCTGGGAGGAGGGTGGGAAGCCCGGACCTCCTGAGCAGTGATGGCGGCCACTTCCCGAGCCCAGCTGCTGGGCCGACGTGCCCCCCAGGGCCGGAGCGGCCGGGCCTGGCCTCCAGGGCTCCAGCGCCGGGCTCAGGAAGTGGGAGTGGAGCGAGACGGCCGCGGGGCGGGGACAGGGAGCGCTGGGAGCCCAGTCTGTCGCAATAGCTTGGAGGAAGAGGAACAGGCTTAGCGGCCTCGCAGGGCGGGAGGGGGTGGCCGGGAAAGCACGTGAGGACAGCAGGCCCGGAACTGGCCGCCTCCCTTGGTGGGCGCTGAGGGGAGAGGAGGGCTGCAGGGGTGGGCGCATCTGGTGGGCAAAGGGCAGCAGGACCAAGGACACCCGCAGGCAGGGCTCCGGGAACAGACGGATTTGGAGACGAAGCCATGGACAGCCAGGTTGGAAAAAGGGGAGGCACCAGGGGCTCCTGTGGAGTGGAGACCCACAGCAGTGGCAGATGCCACATCGGGGACCCAGTAGTGCCACTTGGCAGATGCCAGCATGCCTGCCCTTCGCTGTGGCTTTTTAAGACCAGCTGTCCAGGGATAAGCAGCCAGATGGCTGGGCCTCTACCCTCTGACCCAGCCCAGTCCACGCACGGTGGGAATGCCACACAAAACACTCCAGAGTGCAGCTGGCCGTGCGCCCCCGGCCCCTGGGGGCCTCCCTCTCGAGCAGAGTGGGGAGGATGTGCTGACGAGTTCCTGGTGACTGGGGCCAGCTGTCTAAGGGCTGGGCAGCCTGCTTCCAGCTTCCTCTCCCATGAGCCTTTGAATGAGCCAGTGAGAGCAGAGTCCACCATAGTTCAGGAGCCGACGGAGCTGACGGAGCCGACGGAGGGACAGGTTGCCAGGCGTAGCATGCCAGGGCTTTCAGGTTTCTCAGCCCTTTCTCCCCACCAATACCCAGATCCCATGAACAGCCCCCTACCTCCCCGCCTGGCTGGCTGCTCTCCAAGCTACAGCCTGTGGGGCCAGCTCCCGCCCGACCTGGAAGGTTCATGCAGCTAGCCCAGGTGGCTGCACCCCAGGAGCTGCTGTCTGTAACCTGCTGCCTGTCCCCTGCTTCCCAGCAGGCTGTGGGCTCCACAGTGGCCTGGACTGGACCTCGGAGCCTAGCAGAGTCAGGCTCATGGCATGTGCCCGACACAGATTTATGGAATAAATGAACGATGCCCACATTCCTTAGCTGGTCCATGGCAAAGCCAGCCAGGTGCAGCTCAGGGCAGCAACCTCACTGCCACTTTGCAGCTCACAGCGTCTCCTTTGGGGTGAGACTGACTTCTTCCCTCGGGACAGGTTGCCTGGGTGGCGTCCCCCAGGCCTCTAGCACAGTCCTTACTCTGGGGGGTCTGGTGGCTGACTGACGGGTTTCCTGGTGGAGAAGCTGGGATGCTCTGGTGGAGAAGTGTCTGGGAGGAGATGGAGCAAAAGCTGAAGGGACCCGCCTGAGCGCCAGACGGCCCACTCTTGAGGCGCTCTCCCTTCCCTGGTGCAGGCTGAACACTGGCATCCTGCTGGCTCCTGATGTCCCAGGCTGCTGTGAGGGATGAAATGTCCAAAGGGCTGCATTGCTCAGGGCTGCGGCTCTCCCAGGTCTAGAGCCTAGGGCTGGGACTGGACTCACCCAGAGCTCTCAAACGCTTACAGGAAGCAGTATAGAGATCCTTTTTCTCTTTCTTCTTTTTAATTTTTATCATTGGAATTTCATGACATAACAGACAAGAGGAGAGAGAGTATATCGGGCCCTGCTCTGAGCTGTGGCCAGCCTCCTTCCGTCATGGGGCCTGCCTGTGCACTTCAAATCCCCCTTGATGATGATGATGATGATGATGATGATGATGATGATGATGATGATTTTATTATTATTTTGGTACCAGGGATCGAACTCAGGACCTTGTGCTTGCGAGGCAGGCAGCGAAACCACTGAGCTAAATCCCTGGCCCTCCCCCTTGATTATTTTGAGGCAAGTCCCAGACAATGTGCATAAAGTACATGAATCTTACACATACAGATTGGTAAAATTTCACTTTTGTCCTTTTTTTTTGGCTTTGGGGATTGAATCCAAGGCCTTCACACCAAGCTTTTAAAATTCTATTTAAAATTTGATGCTAAGTTGCTTAGTTGCAACTTGTGAGCCTTCCTCCTGCCTCAGCCTCCCAGATCACTTTTGTGGATTCTTGGGTGTCCTTCCAGAACATTCTGACCCAGTAAAGCCTGCTGCATGCCCTCCAGGCACAGGTAAGCACCGGCTCAGCTCCCCTAGGGCCCTTCGGCTGAACCGTGTGCTTCTTTCTGCTGCTAGTCCCTGCTTTCACTTCATCTCCCAAGGACTCTCTAGGCCCTAAGGAAAGAGCCCTTAGCTCTAGCTTTCATCCTGGCCCTGTCACTTTACCTCTGATTCTCTTTTCTTGTGCAGCCCATGGCCTGTTTGCTTGCAGATCTGTGCTCCACCCTTTCCCTGCTCTGAACTGTCTCTCCTGGGAACTACATTTCCCAGGCTCCCTCTGGTTTGTGTGTGGGATCAGCCAATGGGGGCGCTGGCAGATGACCAGTGGGTGGGGAAGGGAAGAAGTTGGCTTCTCAACCACTCCGCACTGTGGCATCACCTGAAGTCGGTTGTGTTTCTTCCTACGCTCCTTCTACAACTCCGTCTCCTACTGGGTAACCGCCATAGTTTAGTTCTGGCCTAACACCTGTGCAGGCTTCTTGGTCTATGGCGCTGCCTCGCCGGGCTCTCTCCGTCTCAGCGACGGCAGCTGCTTCTTGCTTTGGTGTTTTCTGCGTTGCCTCAATATCTCCTCTTGGCTTCTCAGCTCTTCTGTCACCCACATCACAATTCCCTCTACTTCCTTCCCTCCTGTCCCCCTCCCTCCCTCCCTCCTTTCCTTCCTTCCTTCCTTCTCTCTCCTTTCCTCCCTCTCTCCTCCTCTCCTCTCCTGTTATCCCTCCCCTTCTCTCTTTGCCCCTCTGTGCCGAAGCGCCCCCCCCCCCGGCACTGAGGCCATGCTAGGCACTGAGCCACACACCCAGCCCTTCTGATGAATCTCTTCCATTTGAAAAACCTGGAGCATTTCCTGTTTCCCATCTGGATCCTGACAGACAACCTCACTCATAAATGGTTATTACAATGCCTCCCCTTGGAGGACGGAGCCCCACAGCGGGGAGATCCAGAAACACTTTGTGAGCAGCATGGTCTCTCTCCATTCCCACCCTTCACTGGCGTCCAGTGTGCCCAGAGAGCCGGGTGTGAGAAGGGGCTGGTGTGTCTCCTTTGGAGGGGTCACTGTGAGGTCCCCCTTCCCGCCTGCTGAAACGGGGCCTGGGGAGAATGGACCCCTTTTAAATACCCTTTCCTTCTCTTCTGTCCCCACATGGCTCTCAGCTAGTGGGTCCCCTCGGGAAGGGTCTGGGAAACCCTGAGAAATGAATGTAACCAGTGAGGGTTGCCCTGCAGAGGGATTTATTTTCAGTGGGGACAGTGCCTTACCCCGTTGTTCTCCCCTGGTGACTTTGTCTCCCAGAAGGCATTTGGCAACATCTGGAGACATTTTTAGCACCACCACTCGGGAGGTGCTGTAGAGCAGCAGCTGAGCAAGGGAACAGTGATGGCAGGGAAGGCAAGGATGGGCGGATCGGGTGGCATTTTCGATCTCTAGTTTTCAAGGGTGAATTATTTTCAAGCTAGGTCCTACTTCTGGGGACAGAGGGTACTGTCCGCTAGGAGGTAGAGGCCAAGGATGCTGTTAAACAGCCCACAGCACATAGGGCAGCCCCCTCCCTAAAGAAGGACTTGGCAGAAAGGTCAGCAGTGCTCAGGCTGAGAACCCTGTCTTAAGCAAAGGGATAGCCTCTAGCGGAGTCTCTAAGCCTCCAGGTCGACAGACTAAGGCAACAGGGAGGGATATTCTGCTCTATCGTTTTAGCTTCATCCTCCATAAGTGACAACGAGAGGATGGCTGTCTTCCCCCATACACAGCTCAGTGTGGAGCGGCCAACAAGCTCTCCTTGTAAGACTACACAGGTGCATTTCATTGAGGAATTCAGTTTTACCCTAGAAAGGACAGAGGCTGAAGAGAAAGAAGTGAAGGAAGCTTAGACAGATTAACCAACCACAAATGAATGGTTATCAGAGGAAGTAGGATGTAGAAGTTAGGATGCTTTCTCAGTGCACATGCCTCTCTGTCAAAGAAGAACCCGGGCCTTACCCAGGAGGCTGATTCTTTCTGCAGAGTGGGGTGGCCAACAAAAGTGACCTCCAGTCCTCTAGCCAACAAGGTGAAAAACGGGGTCCCTGTCCTCAGAGAAGGGTGTGCACATGTGCTTGGGGACACATATGACACCAGTAACCAGCATGGAGAACTGGGAGAGCTCCTGTCTGAGAGGGCGGAGGAGAAAGTGGCTCCTTCCGTCAGGAAGACCTTCCAGCTCCTTCCCTTCGTTCCACTTCAGCTGCTCTGGCTCCACTTCTCTCCCAGCAGCCTTTGCACACTACGGCCAACTGGGGGTGGGGTGGGGTGGCTGGTGTTGGGATGGGGAAGGAAGAGCTGGGGCTCTGGGAGAGGCTGAGGGCACTGAGTAGTGGGTTATTAGGCCCCTGACCCACCTCCTCTGAAGTCAGGGCGGCAGAACTGAGCATGGAAAGAGGGGGCTCCATGCAGCTCAAGGAGGGTCCTTGTGACCACTTGGATGCCTCCCCTACCCCCTGCCCATCACTTTTCAGACTAGACTGCAGGGGCCCAGAGAGGTATGGTACTTTTCCGAAGTCATACAGCTTAAAAGCAAAGACAGAAATCACAGAATAATACCCACAGGCACACAGAGGGGTACAGGCTGATGGACGAGTTACACTGGGTCCCCTGGGGCTGAGAGGAGCGAAGGGAGTGGGACAAAGGCGAGCCCTGACTGTCCTCTATGCTTCTTTAGCTTGGAAAGCTGAACTGTGGCATGGATCTCTCTGCTTCATTTCTGCACTGTAGAAGATAATATTTAAGACACAGCTCTGATGAACATTTGGGCCTCAGCTTTCTGTTTTGCTCACAACCAGCTTGCTCTGGTGGCTCTGCATCTACACTGCTGTGGCTTCCGAGCTGCTCTCATCTGGCCTTCCCGCCAGGCTCGCCCCATGCTCCAGGCCGGGCTCGAAGTTCTCACTGAGCCCTTGGGAGGAGAGCTATTTGTCACACCCTGAGCCTGTGGTTGGCATCCAGGCCCCTGGAGCAAACAGGGAAGGCAGGGAGGGCTGAGGCCTCTGAGGTCACGGTCAGAGGGCCCCCCAAGCATCTTTAAGGACCCGGCTTATCTAGGGAGTCTGGGACCCGCAGAGCTTTTCTCAGAGCCAGGGGGACACAGTGCTGTACCCAGAGAGCTGCTGGGTCATGGCTCTGTGTGGAGAGCGTGAACCCCTGCGGGCCTTCAAGCCCAGGTGCAGTGGAGGCCAGAGGAGCTCAGGTCTGTGGCTGTGCTGTCTCCCCAAGAGAATGGCAGATGTGCCTAGCAGAAGTTAGGGTTTCTGTACGGAAGCCCCCAAAGCCTCCTGTGCTCCAGGCCTTGTGGAAGGTGACTGGATTAGGTAGGAGGTGGGGCTTGGTTGGAAGAGTGGATCCCTGGAGTGTGGCTGGGCAGCTTCCTGGCCCTCATGTCTGGAGCAGCTCTCCTCCACCCAGGCCCTTCCACAACGCCACGGACCATGTGAGGACTGAAACTGCTGAAACACGAGCTAAAATAATCCTCTCCTCCTTCAAGCTGCAGGTGCTGGCAATTTTGTCCCAGCAACAAGGAAAGTGAAGGAGGAGCAGACAGTCCCAGAGGGGCAGAATTGCTAATTCTGTTTACAACGCGCTGCTGTCATTTTGTTGTGGAATGTCAGAGAACTGGCTTATTTGTGTGGACAGTGAAGAGGGAGCCAACCTTTCCGTCCTGAGGCAGGTTTCACGAGCAGGTGAACCAGTCTGGAACCCAGATTGCCACGGGTCCTCGCTGTAAGAAGCCACAAGAGCAGGCTGTACCGAGTCTGGAGGACCCTCCGTCGATCTCTTTGCCAGGCAAACTTGATGCAGCTGAGTTGTCACCATCTGTGAGACCTCGCCTGGAAGCAAGTCCTTCCCCTCGGCGGCTCCCCCAGACGTGGTCCTGATCTCTCCCCCAAGTGACCCCCGCAGGCCTGGCTCTGGGCTCAAGCCGGGCTTGTCTGTGGGCTCTGTGGGTCAGAGTTGCAGGAAGGGCAGGGCCATGCTCCCAGCCCTGGTGCCTCCCACAGGCCCTGTGGTGGCAGACCTGCCATTGGCTGGCCGGGCAAGGCCTGGGCGTGAGAGGTGAGCCCTGTCTCCTGAGCCCAATCCTCTCACCTTTCCCTCTCCACCTGCTCACAGCTCGCTCCTCCATCTCCATTCTCTTCTGGACCAGCTCTGGACAGAAGTTTTAGAGAAACCAGAGCCCCTACCAGTAGCTTTTCTCTCCTTCCAGGGTGCTGCAGAGAGGGGTTGTGCACGGCACCAGTGCTGCCATGTTCCTCTCTGCCCTCTTGTGCCTGCTGTCTCTGCCTTTCTTTAGGCTCCCCGTCTGTGCCCACAGTGCCCTGTCCGGCCCGATGCTACCTCCCATGCCCACATTCCTGCAGCCTGTGACCACAATAGGGGACATTACACATTCTTGCCCTGGCAGCCAATGATGTAAAAAAGAACAGAATGTCCCAGGCCTGGCCCAGCCCCCAGCTTCACCTGGGCCCCTCCTTTGCCTGGGCGAGGCTGGGGGTGAGGAGGAAGAGGGTGGTGGGAGAAAAGTGTCCCCACTTCTGCAAGGACCCCTTCTCCTTTCTCTGCAGGACCTGGGGTAAGGCTGACCCTGGGGGTAGCCAAGAGGGGCCCCAGCGAGGTTGGCCAGCTCCTGGATGCCAGCCTGTCTCCCTTTTCCTGTGGGTGGCTCCCTCCCCTTTGCCCTCTTGATCTCTCTGCCTCTTCCATCCCCCCTCGGGCCTCCACCCTGTCCTCCTCTGTCCCTCTCCCTGCTTCTGGCCTCCCTGTTCCCTGCTCCCCACACCTGCCCTCACTCCTCCTGGCTCATTCTTCTTTCCCTGTTGCCCTCCTGGCTTGGTGTCCAGAATCCTTCTACCCATTTGAGATCTCTGACACTCACAGGCTCTTCTGTCTCCAGCCCCTTGGCTGTCAGCTCCCATCAGTCCCGGCTCAGATTCTTGGTCCCCACTGGCCCAGGCTCTCCTGTCCCCAGGAGCCCTCTTCCCTTGGAGAGCTCCCAGCCAGGACTCCTCCCCCACCCTCCCCCGGCCCTGCTCACCTTTAATTGAGATGCTAATGAGGCTGCTGTCGCTTCCATCCCTGCTGACAGGCGGGCCCCTGGGCTGCACCTGTCAGGTGAGGGGGAGGAGAGGTTGGCTGCCAGATTCAACTGGAAAGGAACCAGTCCCAGCCCAGCCACGCCCGGGAGTGGGGAGCTGGAGGCAACTCCAGCCTCCTGAAGCCTGCGTGCTCTGGGGCAGCGAGGGAGGCAGGACAGGGCTGGAGGCCGGGCTGGGACGAGGGGACCCAGCTGAGAGGAAGGCAGAGAGGAAGAGGAAGGGAGGCAGGATCAGAGGAGCTGGCACAGGGAGGGGGCAGGAAAGGAAGAGGAGGTGAGAGGCACCCAGAGAGCAGAGAGGGGTGAGAGGCGGCAGCCGGGCCAGAGTCCTGCAGAAAGAGGGCCTGAGGGAGAAGAACAGGGCAGCGAGCCTGCCAGCCTGCCAGGGAGGCAAAAGGGAGCCACCAGCTTGGGAAGCAAAGGCGGCCTTACCTGGGGAGGAGAGCCCACTCCACGGAAGCCCGAGCCAGCCCGTTGGCAGACTCTAGCAGGTCATCCGGCTCCTGGAGAGGTGGATGGGGCGGGAGGATGTGGGGAGTGGGCTCAGGATGGACCTGGGCATTGGCAGGGGCAGCTGCCCTCTGGGATCAAGGTGGTGATGAGGGGACCTCGAGAGGCCTGGGCTTGGCCTTGACCTTGACCCTGACTCTCATGTCTCTGACCCACCTTAGGGCTCCATGAAGGGGGCTGAGCTTGAGGCTGGAGGCCCTTCCCCTCCCCAGCCCACCCAAGGGCTCGCAAAGGGGGATGAGAGCGAGCAGCCAGGGCTGGGCCCAGAGCCCACCGCCCCGCAGCAGTGCTTGGAGGAGGAGGAGGCCCTGATTGAGTTCCACCGCTCCTACCGCGAGCTCTTCCAGTTCTTCTGCAACAACACCACCATCCACGGCGCCATCCGCCTCGTGTGCTCCAAGCACAACCGCATGAAGACTGCCTTCTGGGCTGTGCTCTGGCTCTGCGCCTTCGGCATGATGTACTGGCAGTTCGGCCTGCTGTTCGGGGAGTACTTCAGCCACCCTGTCAGCCTCAGCATCAACCTGGACTCTGACAAGCTGGTCTTCCCCGCCGTCACCGTCTGCACCCTCAATCCCTCCAGGTCAGTCTGCTCATGCCACTCCACACTCCTGCAGACCCCAGGCCACTTCCCCAGGGGCGGCAGGGAGCCCTGGCCTCTGCCTGTGGCGAGGTCCTGTCCTGGGTGTGGCCTGAGCCAGAGAGTGGGGTCGGCCAGCAGTGCCGCCCTGCCCCAGCCCTGTCCCCAGTGTGAGTGGGGGGCACTGGGGAGGCCAACGGACTCACCGTCCAAAAGGACAGGCCTAGGGCAACCTTGTCCTCCCTGAGCAGGATGACAGCCAAGAACTGAGGCTCAGCAGGAGGGCTTGGCCTTAGCAACCAAGGCCCTGGGTTCAGAACCAGCACACACGGGTCTGATGGAAAGGTGAAGCCCAGGGAGAAGAGGTGAGGAGCGAGGGCACTGGAGAAGGGTGAGGCTGGTCTTGGTGCAGAAAGCTACATGGTGGGTGCTGGATGTCAAGGCTGCGAAGCCCCACGGAGAATGAGCAGGTGTGCCCCACAGACCCAGGCTGCTTGCTGGGCTGCTGCTCACCTGCCCAGGTGCCTGACCTGTAAGGCTTGGGTGTGCCCTGCAGTTTTGGGTTTCAGCAGTGCTCTTTGCCAGCCTGGGGTTGGGAAGCAGGGGGAGTGTTGACCTTGGAGAGGAGAGGAGGAGGGGCCCCTGTTTATTCAGACCTTTTATTTGTGTTCACTCAGTCAGGGCCACACCTTGGGAACACTTGCATCACCAACACAGTGCTAGGCACCAGGTGAAATGGATTTATTAATCACTGAACAGCCTTTACTGGAGGCCAGGGACTTTTCCAGGTATTGGGAACAGAAAGCTAAAATTAGAAAGAAGGGATATAAATTCATAACAGCAGCACATGGTGATAAGCACAATAAAATGTGTGAGTGTAAGCCCATTAACGAGTGTTTGAGCGTGAGTGTGCGTGAGCACACCCATGGGGAATGCATATGACTGTGGACCATTGGCATTGTCACACATGGGGCGGGGGGGGGCCTCCCGATGTGTCAGATGTGTCATGGACCAAAGGGCTGGGACGTCCTGGGGAGGAAGAGCAGCTGCCCTACGCTGTCCAGGGCAGGGCGCTTACTAAGGGAGCTGCTGCAGGCACCAAACACTGGGAGGACTTTACAGCCAGCCCAGTGATTTTCACAGCATCTCCAGAGGCAAGAGCTAGTACTGTCCCTATTTTACACACGAAGAAACTGAGGCAGAGAGAAACAAGTCACAGGGTCACAGAGACAGTGAGTGACTGAACCTTGACTCATCCTGTTTGCCTGGTCCTAAAACTCCTGGGCTTGTAATACCCAGATGGGACTGGGAATAGATGACTTCCAAGGAGATGCTATTTACAGCTCCTGAGAGGACTCTCTGCTGCCCTCCTGGCCCCTCTTCCTGCAGGCCCCCCCATCTCCTTAGGCCAAGCTGGGTGGGTGCAGAGCAGGAAGCAGAGGGAAGGCAGTGTAGCAGGCACTGCATAAATATTTGTGGTTGTAAAGATATCGAGATATGGAGAGGACGGGTGAATCTGCAGCTGTTGAAGGGCCCTAGAAAGGCAGGCAGAGCTAAAGCCCCAGGGAATGGAAACCGGAGTCCCCGGGGCCCCGGGGCTGGAAGTGGATGTCCATTACTTCAGGACTTAGGGGAGAGAGAGTGCCCAGGAAGGAGGGAGCCAGGGAAGGCTCCCAAACACAGGAGCAGCCAACTGGCCACCTCCTCTCTGCTCAGTCCGGTGCCGGGATCTCATCTGGCCCCAATGCCGTGGGCATTTTATACATTTCCATTTTTCAGCTGAGCACATCGAGTCTCTGCAAGGTGAAACTGAGCAAGGCACACAGCCAATAATAAAACAATAATAGGTAACACACACACACATACACAGTATTTCCAAATGAATCTAAATCTGAATTAAATATTAAATTATTTAATCCCCACAGCGGACCTTGGATGTAGTACCATTAGCAGTTCCACTTTATAGATGGGAAAACTGAGGCTCAGGGAGTTGAGTAAAATCATCCAAGTTCAGAAAGGGCTGGGAATGAGCTCGGTGCTCCTTGAGTTCCACCCAGTGCCTGCCTATCTGAAAACTCTCCTTATTTAGGAACCGGTGCACCCCAGGTTAGCAGCCAATCACAGACCAGGCGTGTGTGGCACCCATGTCCTCCCCAACACACTTTCAGAGGAAGCCACCGAGACTTCTAGGGTCAGGGCCTCTGCTGGGACCCTCAACGGGGAGGCTGGTGGGTGGATGGCCGAATGGCCTGGTGTGAATCACAATGGCGGGGCAGAGGCAGGGAGCCAGGTAGATGCTCTAGGGAGGACAGAAGATGTAGGGGTCAGTGGAGGAGCCACCATGGGTCCACCTTCTGAGAGACACAGCTAGCAGAGGGAGAGAACATGGCCCTATGGTGTACACACCTGTAATCCCAGCACTCCGGGAGGCTGAGGAGGGAGGGCCCCAAGGTTGAACCCAGCCTGGCAGCTTAATGATTTTGCAAGCCCCGTTCTCAAACCCTGAAAAGGGCTTTGGATGTAGCTCAGTGCAAAGGCCTGGGCTCAGCCCCTGGGCCAGGGGCCTGGTGGTGGTCCTGTCTGCTGAGCTTGTGTGGCTTTGTCATCTCAGGAAAGAGAACAAAGACTGCTGAGCTGCCCGACTAAGCACTGAGGCGCTAAGAATCCAGTGGGCAGGGCCAGCCACGGTGGGGCCATTCTTTCTGGTCTTGACCCCAAAGAACAGGGCGATCAGGTTGTCCCTAGAAAGCAGTCTGTGGACATATTTTCATCCAGGCTCTGGGAGGACATAGACTGCGCCTAAGGAAGCCCTCGAACTCTTCTGTCCCAAGGTGGCAGTGGGGCAGCAGAGTGGGGCACGGAGACAGGCCACTCCCACGGGGAAGCCGGTGCCTTGTGCCCTCGCTCAGGCTGGACCCCAGCCCAGCAGAGCCCAGACTGGCCACAGTGACCTGGCCCTGGTGCTGGCCCTTCCGCCCTTGGTGGTGGAGCTGTGGTCCGGGTTCTGTGTGTGGGGCCACCCGGAGAGGTCACCTCCTTCCTGGCATAGCGCTGTCGGTTCAGGTCAGCTGCGGCCCCTCAAGGTCTGATCACCACATCGACTTGGGTAGTTCGGCCGGCGCCCTGGCTGGAGTAGAAAACCAAAAGGCACTGTGGAGGTTTTGCAGCCGCTGAGTGGAGTCGGAACTGAACTGAAATCTGGGTCGTCAGTTCCACTCCCATCAAGACAGTGGGTCACGAGGTAAATAGGGGCAGAGGGCTGAGAGTAACAACAGACACAGTGATGCTGCAGCCTTCTCATACACAATAACTCAGCCAATCCTTGGGGGCATACAAGGCCGGGGGGCTGTCACTCCCTCATTTCGCAGATGGTTAAAGAGAGGTACACGGAAGATAAGGGACATGTTGGAGGCCAACCAGCTCTTTAGTGGAGAGGGTCAGATGTGAGCCTGGAAAGCTAATAAGAACTTGATTCCTTTAACTGTTCCTCAAATGATTTCTAGACCTTACCACCCCAGCAGTCCATCCTCTGAACAGTTGTTGGCTCATAAGCATCTTTTGGTCTTAAAATGTTGTGGCCACAGGGGAACATGATGGCACATATTTGTAATCCTAGCACTTGGGAGGCTGAGACAGGAGGGTCACAAGTTGGAGCCCAGCCTGGGCAACTTAGTGAGACCTTGTCTCAAAATAAAAAGTAAGAGGGCCAGGGATTTAGCTCAGTGGTTCTGCCACCTGCCTCGAAAGCGTAAGGTCCTGAGTTTGAATCCCGGTACCAAAAAAAAAACCCTGGCATGTAGCTCAGTGTGAAGGCCCTGGGTATAATCCCAGGACTCAACTCCATTGTGTGGTCTGAGAGCTCAGAACCACTCAAAGGGTGATCCGTGTCCAGGGCACTTGTAGGGCACCTGGCCTGAACACCTTGGGGTGCAGGCTGGGCTCAGAGGGGCCGTGTGGGGTGGGGGTCTCCACTGTGGCTCAGAGCCCCCGAGAGTCAAGACTGGAGGTGCTGAGGGGGTGGGGAAGGATGGGGCCGGGGCAGAGGGCGTAGAAAGGAAAGGGGAGGCTTCTAGGTAGGCAGGAGGCTGGCGTGTTTCCTGCACCTGGCTCTGCCTGGTACGAGGCACTGCTGGGGGAGAACACTCCTGCAGGGGTCCCTGGGCAGGGGGGATGGGGCCTAGGAAGTTCCCAGGCTGCCACGGTGGGCTTGGGGTTTTCTGTGAGGGGCACTTCCCGAGGGATAAGAGGAAGGAGGAGGGGACAGATGGGGAGAGAGCAGGGTGTCAGCTTCCAGGGCCCCTGCACCCTGCCCTTCACAGAGAAGTGGGCCTGGAGGGGAGGCGGCCAGCAACAAGGACAGCAGGTGCTACTATCTGATCTTTTTTTTTTTTCCAGTATTGGAGATCAAACTCTGGACCTTGTGCTTGCAAGGCAGGTGTGGTGCCACTGAGCTGTCCTGGCCTCAAAGCTGGAAGCAGCAGTGGAACAAGCAGGGGCAGTGCAGTCTGATCAGCCTGGGTTTGAATCTTGGCCCCGGGGGGTTCTTCCTTGCTGAGTGGTCTGGGAAGTTGCTGAGGGGATGCGCCTTGATTTCCTGGCTGTGGGGTGCAGAGAGGAACGCCTGGCTCGTGGAGCTGTCCAAGGGTCCAGGACCCTAGACAGGGCAGCATCGTGGCCTGGGCAGGAGGGGGCAGCTGGAAGGGCTGGGTGGTCTCGCTCAAGCCTGTGGTAGGCATTCTTCACTGTGGGCTGCACCAGGGCTTCACACTGCACTACATCCCTGGTCCTGTTTCTATTGTGTGAGACATGGTCTGCTAATTTGCTAAACTGCCCAGGCTGGACTCCAACTTGCTATACTCCTGCCTCAGCCTCCCAGAGTGCTGGGATCACAGGCAAGCAGCACCACCCCAGGCCACAGCTGGCCTCTTGATCATCCCTTCTTTCTAGCCCGTGGTCTCCTCAGGACGAGAGCTGAGTCTTTACTGTGTTTTGCTTAGTGATCGATTCTCTTAATTCCAGTGCCAACTCGCAGGCCCTGCCTCCTGTTAGAGGGATGCTGGGGGACGGGATTTAGGGAAGGAGAGATTTCTGTGTTGAAAAGGGGGAGAGGTGACCTTGGGGGTGGAGGGAGTCTTGTGTGGAGCTTCCTTGTGGCAAGGGACAGGTTGTTCTGGGTGTGTGGAGAGGCAGGGGGGCTGCAGGGAGCCGGCCCAGAGGCAGTGAGGGCTCCATGGGGAGAGCAGTGTGGCCAGAGCAGGGACAGGCCGGCCTTGGGGATGGCGAGACAGAGGCGGAGGGGACACAGAGGGGCAGGAGGGGCAGAAAACGAGGCTGTGCGGTGAGGTTGCAGCTCATGCCCAGCTGGGACACTGGGACGCTTCCTGTGCAGCTCAAGCTACATCCCACTTTCCTGGGCCGTGGGGCTGCCTGTCTCCCTGGTCTCTTCACTTAGCGAGCCTGCATGTCTGCTCACTGAGCTCCCAGAGTGTGTGTGAGGGCAGCTCCGGTGCTGCACCCAGCCCACAGACAGGAACTGAAGCCACTGCATGGCCAGTGCGACAGGCTGGGACACCAGGGTCCACACCCCACCACTGTGGCTCTGCGGACTTTCCGGGGCAGGACAGAGCAAGTGCCATGGTCGGGGCACTGTCCCATCACGCCTGACTGCTGGCTTGAGCCCACAGCTCAGCTTCCCCTGGAAAGGTGGCTGCGCCATTGGCTAACCTCAGACTGTGCTGCACTGAAGAGCAGGCTGTGATGCACACTCTCACAGCGCCATGCCGCGCCATGCTCCCAGTGGGCACTCAGGGAATACTAGCTATTATTAGTCTCCCGAAGACCAGACACACACACACCTCTGACCTGAGTACCTTTTCTCCTGTGAGTGCGTGAGGGGAACTTGCTAGTTCCAGCCCAGCCCTCTCTCGCTTTAGAGGGCTATGGCTCAGACAGACAGACATTTAGGGTGGAACTGCAGGGCCCCTGGGCGGGATGGAGACCTGGAGTAGCGGTTATGCGTCTGCATATGTGGACCACAGGCGGTCTTAGACCTCCTTGGGCAGCGGCAGCCCGAGGTCACCAGTGAGCTCCTTCTGTTCCTAGATTTCATATAAATGCAATCAGGGGATCTGTATTTTCTTGTATGTTACAATACTAACTTTTCTGTTTTCCCACTGGAACTGAATCAGTGCTTTGGTCAAAAATGAACACATTCTATGTGTGGGCTCATTTCTGGACTCCTGCTCCCTGATTCATTGTTTATCTTTTCCAAGAACCACACTGTTTTGGTTACTGTGGTTTTACAGCAAATATTAGAGTCAGGTAGTATAAGTCCTCTCCTCCCCCTCTTTTTTGTGGTGCTGGAGATTGACACCAGGAAGCCCTGAGCTATATACCAAGCCCTTTTTATTACTGTATTCTGAGACAGGGTCTTGCTCTGTTATCCAAGCTGGCTGTGAACTTGTGATCCTCTTGCCTCAGCATCCTGAATAGCCAGGATCATAGGAGGGAGCCACTCTGCCTGGCTCAGCTTTTTTTATTTTTATTTTTTATTTTTTTGGTACCAGGGATTGAACTCAGGTCCTTGTGCTTGTGCAGTGTTTTTTTTTTTAAATGTGGTACTGGGATCGAACCCAGTGCCTTCACACAGAGCTACCTCCCCTTTTTAATCTTTTCAAATTAAAAAAAAATTTTGTTAAATTTTATGTTGAGACAGTGTCTTGCCTGTCACTAAGTTGCCCAGCCTGGGTTCCAACTTTGATCTTTCCAGGGCCGGGTGTGTACCATGACACCTGGCTTTTGCTTTTCTTTTCCAAAACTGTTTTGGCCATTGTAGGCTCTTTGCATTTCCATGTAAATCTTAGAAGCAGCCTGTCAACTTCTTTAAAACTGCTGAAAATTGGGCCCGGATTATGTTGAATCTAAAGACCAATTTGGGAAGCCTTTTAACTACATCGAATTTCTGATCCACAAAAATCTGTACCTTCTCTCTCCTTTTGGTTTTTGGTTTCTTCAGGAGGACCTTCAGTGTAGAGATCTTGTACATCTTTTATTAGATTTATTCCTAGGTATTGGATGTTATGCTATTTAACATAGGGGTTGTTGTGATTTTATTTTCATACATTAATTTTTGTATATTGGTTTTGTATCCTGCAATATTGTTGAGCTTATTAGGTCCAGATGTTTGTCGTGGTGGCTTTGTAATCGTGAAGCCCAGAGATGTGAACTTTCATCATGCAGACGGTAACAGGGCCAGGCGAGAAGGAATGAGAGGCTTTACTCACAAGGGTGTTAACAGCGCCTGGGCCCCACCCGAAACTCACTGAAACTGGGTCTCTGCGGGTCGTTTCCGGGAAGGCTGACCGTGCGCGCGCTGACCGTGCGCGCGAATCCTGATTTAGGGTTACAGGCGCGGCTGCTGAGGTCTCCGGCGCTCAGGGCAGCCCGGGAGCGAGTTCCGGTTCCCGGGCGCCGGCGAGGCGAGGACAGCGCCACCCGCCGGCGCCCTCCGTCCCCGTGGGCTTCGCGGGGATCACCGGGCAGGGAAACTGAGGCCCACGTCCGCCCAACACCTCCAGGTACAAAGAAATTAAAGAGCAGCTGCGGGAGCTGGATCGCATCACGGAGCAGACGCTCTTCGACCTGTACAAGTACAACGCCTCCAGCACCCTCCTGGCCGGTGCCCGCGGCCGGCGCGACCTCGAGGAGACCCTGCTGCACCCGTTGCAGCGAATCCCGGTTTCACCCGGACCAGGAAGAGCGCGCAGCGCAGCCTCCAGCTTGAAGGACAACAACCCCCAGGTGGACCGGAAGGACTGGAGGATCGGCTTCCAGCTGGTGAGGCCCCGCCCCTCCCCGCTTACCGCGAGCAGGCCCACCGCCCCGCCCCGCCCACCAGGGCGCCAAATGCCACGCCCCCTCCCCGTCTCCACCCGCGGCCACGCCCACCAGCCCTCCAACCCTTCCCCGACCCACCTCTGCAGAATAGTGATGGGGGCGGGCTCATGGTTTGCGGGCAAATTAGTTACATGAAAAAAATCACATCTATCTGTGCCGCAGCGGGGCCCATGTTGAGAGTTGTGTTTTGAAAAATGTGCCTTTCTAAATTCCCAGTGCCCACTGCTAGGACACACTGGGGACCCTCCATTGTGATGAAGATGTGGGGCTCGTCAGCTGAGACAGGCAAAGACAGTGCAGTGGGAGACTTAAAGTTATTTTCAAAATACAAAATAGAGCCGGGCTTGGTGGTACATGCCTGTCATCCCAGCACTCAGGAGGTGGAGGCAGGGGGATCCCTACGAATTTGAGGCCAGCCTGTGCTACATAGTAAGACCCTGCCTCAAAACATCAAAAATTAAAAAAATTAAAAAATAATAGTAAAAGGAAGGGGTGGGGGAAGAGGCCCCCAAAGTGACAGTGGGCTGCACCTCCAGGAGACTCAGCTCAAGGCTCTGCTCTGTTCCTACAAATCTTGTGAGCCCTCAGCCTCCCCCTCCCCGGGGAAATGGCGTGAACTGCTGCCCCCCAAAAGTGAACCGCAGCCTGGATGTCTGCCCTGCTGGCCCACAGTCCAGTCCCGTAGTCCCTCGCTCTCCTGGGGGCTCCTGGTCCTCTCCCTCCTATTTACCCTCCTGCTCCCTCCCGGCTGGCTCCTCCAACCCCCAGAGCTCCTTCTCCCTGAGACCCGGGCCCTGCAGCCCTGCTGACCTCCATCTCTGTGTGCAGTGCAACCAGGACAAGTCTGACTGCTTCTACCAGACCTCGTCGTCAGGAGTGGATGCCGTGCGGGAGTGGTACCGCTTCCACTACATCAACATCCTGGCGCGGCTGGCCGACACCTCGCCCTCGCTGGAGGAGGAGGCTCTGGGCAACTTCATCTTTACCTGCCGCTTCAACCAGGCGCCCTGCACGCAGGCGTGAGTCTGCCCATCCCGATCCCCGACTCCTGCCGTGTTGTGTTGGCCTCATCTGCTTGGCCCGGACCCCGGGAAAGAGCGGGCAGAGCACTTGGTCTTTCTGGGCTTCCTTCACACAGCTCCCGGGCTGGGAGGCAGCCAGGGTGGGGTGGGGGGGTCCCTGTCTTAGCCTGTGATGCTGAGAATTCACATCATCCCCTAGAACCTTTCTCTGTGTGACAGAAAACATAACCAAGCACAAAGAGGAAATTCATTCCCTATTCCTTCCGCAAATAGTTTTGACTGTCTGAGCTATGTGTCAGACACTGTTCTAGGTATTTGGGATACATCAGAGGGGGAAAATGGAATCCTTGCCTTTTGGGCCATTTTACGCCAGTGACAACTCATGAAGGGTGACACGTGGCTGGAGAAGTGAGGCAGGGCCAGGTGCCCCCTCCACTGTCCACTCTGCCCGTCTCCAGTCACTGTTTGAGGAGAGAAGCTGGCAGCTGGGAAGCCAGGCAGTTCAGTCCGAGCCAGCTGCCCCTGCCACGGGCATCCCACCTGTCACTGCCCCACCTGTGGTTCCTGTTCTGGTCCTCTCCTTGGCCTGCTTCGTGCTGCTGCGCCTTTCAGCAGAGAGTCTGCAATCCGTGCCTGGCCCTGCGGGCGCCTCCTTTCTCCCCTGGGTCCCTGGGCCACCCGCCTGGTCTTTCTCCCTGTGTCCTCCTTCATTCTGCAGCCTCAGAAAGTGTCTCAGTCAGGTTTCTGTTGCTACAACCGGGTCCCACAGGCCAAGTAATTCATAGAGAAAGGAAACTTATTCCTCACGGCCTCGGAGGCCAGGAAGCCGGAAGGAACAGCGCTGGCATCGATGAGGCCTCTTAATACAACACCGTGGGAAACAAGGCTGGCAGCTGCAGGCATCTGTGCATTCGAAAGAGAAAGCAGGAAGGATTGGCCGGATCATAGAGCAGCCTTCCTTCCTGCATGGCTGACACTTCCCCTGCTACTGGCCTTGGTCCACTGTGGAGACGGCCCTGGTGCCCCATCAGGTCCTGGGAGACCCGCTTTGAGAAACCTCAGCACTTTGCAGAAGGGGGCGCTGACCTTCCCAAGGGCACTGTCCAGGGGTTCTGTTCTCTGCATTTCTTATTGTCTTTTGTACTTTAGGGTTGTACTTTAGGCGTCTTAGGAATCCTAATTAACGCATTGTCACATAGCTTCACCGAGTGCCCCACTGCTCTGTGTAATTTAGTCCTCAGCACCCTGTGAGGTAGATGCTATTACCTTTTATTATCCTCACCTTGCAGATGAGAAAACTGAGGTACAGAGATCAAGTAACATATTCGTTTCCACTTGTGATACTTGTTAGAGCTAGGATTCAAATACAAGGAACTCCGTTCTGGAGTCTGCTCTTAGTTCCATTTACACGCAGCTTCTCATAGGCCACTATATTAATGTCCTTGATGCATATTTCTTTGTATGTGTTTCTGTAAACTTTACATGGATTTACATACGTGATGTTGCGTGATCCACACTGTCTCTGAACTCTATGTATCTCCCATGCATCCCTGCCCTGCACCGTGTCTGCTGAGCCGACTGCCCCGCCACACCGTGCCTGTCCCTGTCCCAGCCAGTGGGAACGGTGGCTCTTCAGGACCAGCCACTTCTGGAGTTTCCTCCTCAGCCCCTCTCGGCCTCCACCCCATCTTTGCCAATGCTGAAGTGTGCCCAGTATTCCACACCTCTGTGCTTAAGGCCAACAGAGTATTCCAGATCATTAGTCCACGCTCCTCATTGAGGATGAAGGAGAGTAGTTTAGAGACGGCGACTTGTTCACCTAGAGCCCCACTGCTGCTCTCTGGCCTGCCTTCTCCTGCTGACTCTCTCCAGTCCTCCTCTCCTCTCTCAGGTAATCCCCCTTCTCCGTCTTCCCCTGCTTCCTTAGCCAGCTCCCAGACGGCAGGCTGGGAGGACACAGATCCGCTCCTCTGGGGTGAGCGCTTGCTACAGTCCACACAGCTCCAGGCTTGGAACCCGAGACTTGCTGCTAAGTTACGTTGCAGCGGCATTGCCTCTGTGGTTGCTTTTTCTTGTTGCGGACAGGCCCTGGCCATACCCGTCTGAGACCTGCTGATGAACGAGGAGGCCCCTGGAAAATGCTTGGCCTCCTTCCTGCCTGGCTCTGAATGTCATCCTCTCTGCCACACGCTCACCACGGGTCTCACTCTCTTCTAACTGCTCCCTCCCTTTCTCCATCCATCCACCAACCCACCTGCCCACCCATCCATCACTTACTGACTGTCTCCATATGAAGGAACCAGGTAGCTAACCCCAAGAAGGTACAGAGAGGAGTGAGAGGTGGCTGTTGTCCTCAAGGAGCTTGCAGTCTAAATGAGGAACTAAGATTTAGACATGTGAGAAGTTAGGGCCACTGCAAGTCTTCATAAGGCACCAGGGCAGCCCAAGACTGGTCCCCAGGCAGCATGGAAGTCCAGACCAGTGAGGTCATGTGGCCTGGTGGGAGGAGCCTGGGCCAGCAGGCGAGGACACAGCCAGCTGGAGCCCGAGCTTCCTCTTGTGTGTGGAGGATGAGGCTCCCCAGGTTGCCAGCGCATAGTAGGTGATAAGGAGAAGATGGCTCCTGGAGGCATAAGTGTTCCTCGTCTGAGCTCTGGGCTCCCCTGACCTACCCCACTTTCCCCTCTGACGCTGCTGTCTTTGTCCTGCTAAGGAATTACTCTCACTTCCACCACCCGATATACGGCAACTGCTACACTTTCAACAACAAGAATGACTCCAGCCTCTGGATGTCTTCCATGCCTGGGATCCACAACGGTGAGCAGTCCTGCTGCCAGGACAAGGCTTCCACTCACCCTAGCCTCCCGTCCTGCGGCTGCTGCAGCCTCTGGGCCTCTCCATCCTGGAAAGGGGGCTCTGTTCTTTCCCCACCGGCACTGCACCCCGTTCCAGTCCTTTCTCCCCAGCCCACATCTTCCTGGCTGCTGCTCCCATCCCCTCTTCTCCCAGACTCCCCCAACTCTGCTCCCATGCACCCCAGGTCTGTCCCTGACACTGCGCACAGAGCAGAACGACTACATTCCCCTGCTGTCCACGGTAACGGGGGCCAGGGTCACGGTGCATGGGCAGGACGAACCAGCCTTCATGGACGACGGGGGCTTCAACCTGCGACCTGGCGTGGAGACCTCCATCAGCATGCGGAAGGCAAGGACGCAGCCAGTGCTGGGCGGGCTGTGGGACAGGTGACAGATCTAGAGGGTCAAGGGGAGCTGCACTTGCCCTTCTTCTTGAGTGTAGCCTGGGGGGCACTGCGGCCTCTGGAGATGCTGAGGCCGACAGGAGGTGCAGCCGAGTGTGAAACACAGCTGGGGACTGAGGCATGAGGAGAAGCCAGGCCGGAGCCTGGCCACTTGCTCTGACCTCTGTGTGGTCACAGGAAGCCTTGCACAGACTCGGGGGCGATTACGGAGACTGCACACAGGACGGCAGCGACGTCCCGGTCCAGAACCTGTACCCTTCCAAGTACACACAGCAGGTGAGGCCGCCTGCCTCTGCGGCCCAGGGGAGGGGGAGGCTGGGGCTGAGGGGCTGGTGCAGGTGCCAGGGAGGGGCGGGGGGGTGGGCGGGCGGGCTGGGCCTCAGCTCCCCTCCTCGCCAGGTGTGCATCCACTCCTGCTTCCAGGAGAGCATGGTGGAGAATTGCGGCTGTGCCTACATCTTCTACCCCAGGCCCAAGGGCGTGGAGTTCTGCGACTACAGGAACCACAGTGCCTGGGGTGAGAGCGGTGCCCACCCAGCTGGCTGCTTCTCCCTCCCCCTCCACCTCTCCGGTCCCCTTTGGCTTTCTGCCTCCCCTCTTCCTGCTCCTCCCAGCTGGCCCCTCTCTGCATCTAGGTCACAGACTCACCTTCTTTCGCTCTTCGCCCCTTCGCACTGCCTACTGTACGCCAGCTGGGGTCCTGCCCGCCCTGGGGTGCTGGCGGGGTCACCCCTCGAAGTATGTGTCCAAGGCGTGGTTTAGAACATGTACGCCATGCCCCTCAGTGGACCCAGGTGTGTAATTTGGAAACCAGATACACGTATTGGACTTGCCTACTTTACAGTGCTTATTAGCCTGGAGGAGAGCACACTGAACATGTTTGGGGAGAGCTGGCATCGCCTCGTACCCTGGCACAGGGTAGATAAATCCCTCTCCTTTGCCCTGCTGCAGAGCTGTTCCACAGGGGGCGCGTGTGCTAGGAAGCTGAGACAGGATGGTCCCAACCAGAAACAGTGGACACCCCCAGGGTTTGCATTCAGGGGCACAGGCCAGGGCCCTTGCTGGAAGGAACATGGTGGCAGGCTTTGGGGTCTCACGAGCTCCCATGGAGTTGTCTCACCTCGAGTTTGTGTCCACCCTGCTTCTCCCGCCCGTGTGATTCCCCGCTTCCTTTCCCGCCTGGGCTGGCTCCGAAGAGTCCTCTTCTTCTGCCCGTTCTTCCTAGCGGTGGCCTCTGGTTTCTCCTTTCTCGGAGGATCAGAGCACATCAGAACTGGAGGGGAGCTGGGCACGGTGGCCACGTCTGTAATCTCAGCTCCTCAGGAGGCTGAGGCAAGACGATTGTGAGTTCAAGGCCAGCCTGGGGAACTTGGCAGACCCTGTCTCAAAATTAAGTTGGAGATGTAGCTCATAGTAGAAGACTTGGCTAGCAAGCATGAGGCCCTGGGTTCAGTCCCAGCCCTGAAAAAAGGAAGAAGAACCGGAGGGAAATTCAGAGGCCATCTGACCTCTCAGCTCCTTTCTCAGATAGATAAACTGAGGCCTGGAGGGACGGCATGACAGACCCCACATCCCAGGATCCCCAGAGCAGTGGGGTGGGGGTTCCCGTCTCTCCATCTGCCCCGAGGATTTCTGAGCTGGGAGTGTGATGCTCTGGGAGTGAAGAGTAGCATGTGCATAGCTGAGGGCAGGACAGCCACAGCCCCACAGCTTCCTGAGGCTCAGCCCGCAGGAAGTGGCCCAGCTGCCCCCTTAGAACGGAGCTTCCCATTCCATGGCTGGTCCCTGGGTGGCAGAGAGAGGAGTTTGGGTGAGAAATGAAGGATTGTGGACCAAGGGACTAAAAATAGCAATGATGATGAGATAACCCTGTTAGAACTTGGCAGATCCCCGGGTGGGGATACCACAGTCCCCCCCCCTTCCTCCTCCTCCTGCTTCTCCTCCTCCTCCTCTTCCTCCTTTGGGCATTGACTGCTTTATTTGAGATAATTCATATCCCATACAATTCAGCTATTCATTTAGGGCTTAATTTTAGTACAATGATAATTTTTAGTCTTAGGTTTCTGGTGTAGTCCCAGGGCTGTTCAGTCATCACTAGTCAATTTCAGAATATTTTTCATCACCTCCCAAAGAAATGTCGTACCCATTAGCAGTGCCCCAGCTCCCCACTCTTCACTGCCAGCCCCTGGGAAACCCCTAATCTTTCTGATTCCATAGATCTCCCTGATCTGGACGTTTCATGTAGATGGGTCTTACAACAAGTGGTCTTTGTGACTGGCTTCTTTCACTTACTGTATTTTCTAGGTTCATCTGTGTTGTAGCATGTAGCAGTACTTCATTCCTTTGTTATGGCTGAGTAATATTCCAGTGTGTGGATGATACTACACAGTGTTTTGTGTATTCATCAGTTCTTAGACATTTGGCTTGCTTTTATTTTTTTTGATTTTATGAGTAACGCTGCTGTATACAAGTTTTGTGTGGACATAGGTTTTCAGATCTCTTGGAGAATTACTTAGATCATATACTAATTCTGACTTACCTTTCTGAAGAGTTGCCAGTTGTTTCCCAAGGTGGCTGTACCATTTTCCACGCCCAGCAGCAGTAAATGAGTTTCCAGCTTCTCCACATTTTTTTTTGTTTTTGTTTAGTTTCTCCACATTTTGCTAGTCTTTGCCATTGTCCTTCCTTCCTTCCTTCCTTCCTTTTTTTTTTTGGTACTGGGGATCTCAGGTCCTTGTGCTTGCGGGGCAGGCGGCGGAACCACTGAGCTAAATCCCTGGCTCTTTCTCTTGTTTTTTAAGACAAACAGGGCCTTACTACATAGCCCAGGCTGACCACAAAGTCACAATCCTCCCGCCTCAGCCTCCTTAGTGCTGCGTATTATCTCTTTTTTAATAATAGCCATCTTAATGGGTACAAAGTGGTATTTCACTATGGTTTAACTCCATTGTTCTTTTTTTTTTTTTGGTACTGGGGATTGAACTCGGGTCCTTGCGCTTGCGCAGCAGGCGGCAAAACCACTGAGTTAAATCCCCAGTCCCAACTCCATTATTCTTTTTGGTCCACGTTTACTAGGACACACACATAAATTTTTTTTTTTGGTACTGGGGATCGAACTTGGGACCTTGTGCTTGTGGGGCAGGCACCCGAACCACTGAGCTAAATCCCCGGCCACAAACTCCATTATTCTTACACAACAGCTGTTCCTATTTTTCTTCTGAGGTCTGATGTTTGACCACACAGCACATCTTAGGTGGTCAGATCCTGTTGGTTTTTCTAGCTTTGGTTAATGTGCTAACCCTTTTTGTTGCTCCTACCCAAGATGCATCAGGATGTGAAGTGCAAGTGCATGTGAAGTGGGGCCCCCGGGTGTGGGTGGAGGAGGCTGAGGTAGCCTGGGAACACTGGGATCTCTGTACCCACAGGCTACTGCTACTATAAGCTCCAGGGGGCCTTCTCCTCCGACAGTCTGGGCTGCTTCAACAAGTGCCGGAAGCCGTGCAGGTGAGCGCCCTGCCCCGGTGCCCAGGTGCAGGGTGGGCCAGGGCTGGGAGGCTGGGAGGATACAAGGCAGGCAGCTCAACTTGTGAGTGGGAGAGCCCTGAGCCATCACTAAGCACATTTTAGGGGCGCACTTGTAATCCCACCACTTGGGAGGCTGAGGCAGGAGATCACGAGTTTGAGGCACTTCTGGGCTACATAGCGTGACTGTCTCAAAAACCAAAACCGAAACAAAATTAAGTGCATTTCTTCATCCTCAGTGTGACCAACTACAAGCTCTCTGCGGGTTACTCACGTTGGCCCTCGGTGGCATCCCAGGTAGAGTGGGAAGGAGGAGCAGGAGGCCTGTGCACCCGCAAACACGAGTGTGACACTGGCCCGAGAAGTGCAGGGATGATCTCGTTCCCCCCCATCCCTTCCCAGGACTGGATCTTCCAGATGCTGTCCCTACAGAACAACTACACCATCAACAACAAAAGGTGGGTCCTGGTCCCCTGAAGGAATCCTGGGGGGCGCAGACCAACGGGAAGGGGACCTGAGGCCTTAAGCCTTTCTCCACCCTCTCCCCACTCTGAAGAAACGGGGTCGCCAAACTGAACATCTTCTTCAAGGAGCTGAACTACAAAACCAACTCCGAGTCCCCGTCAGTCACGGTAGGGCCGGGCCCGAGCCCCTGGCTGTCCTGGGGACCCTGGTTTGCCAGGCAGCAGCACAGGCCCGAGTGGGAGGAGCGGAGGGAGGGAAGGAAGGGCTGGGCTGGGCTGAGGCCAGGGGCTGAGGGCCGCTGGGGGCTCATGGCGTCCTCCGCCGCCTCTCCCACAGATGGTCACCCTCCTGTCCAACCTGGGCAGCCAGTGGAGCCTGTGGTTTGGCTCCTCCGTGCTGTCCGTGGTGGAGATGGCCGAGCTCATCTTCGACCTCCTGGTCATCACCTTCCTCTTGCTGCTGCGGAGGCTCCGGAGCCGCTACTGGTCGCCCGGCCGAGGGGCGGGGCCCGCGCGGGAGGCGGCCTGCACGCCTGCCCGCTTCTGTCCGCATCCGGCCTCCCCGGACCTGGCGGCCCCCCCGCCCGCCTATGCCACCCTCAGCGCCTGCCCCCCTCCACCGGGCTGGGCCTGTGCCCCGGGGCAGCCGTGAGGTTGGCGCCGCCCGGCCCCTAGGGCCGGTGCCTGTGGCCGTGAGGCCAGGCTCCGGGGGTGCGGACCAGTGTCCTTGTCCCGATCGGGAGCCAGCATTGGTGCTCGGGCCAGGAACTTCCCTAGGAAACGCCCGGCAACAGAACAAACACAGACAAGGCAGGCTCCCGGCTCCTCTCCAGCGACCACGTGGCCCCCAACTGGCCTGGCCACGCTCCCTCCGGGGACATAGAGGCTGCTCTTGCTCTTGACCTTGGTGGGGAACCCTGCCCAAAAGCCCCCGCTCCCTTTTAGCTCTTGGGCAATTCTCCTTCCCCGACTCCTCAGGGCAGGGGCTGGAACAGACCAATTTGGTGAAGGTTTGGCCCTTCTCAGTCATTCCCAGACTCCCCTGATAGCCTCCAGCCCTCAGAGCCGTAGCCGGTGTCTCTGCCCTGAGCCCTTCATACCTCTAGGTCTGCTCAAGCGATTTCCTCAGCCAGGAACTTTCCCTTATCATCTCCTGGAGAGCTCCTATGCATCCCTCAGAACTCCACTCAGGCACCATTGCTTCTATGAAAGCCTGATGTCACAGAACTGCTCCCACCCTTGCATTGGACGCCATGGCACACTGTGACGTCTGCTGGAACACTGATGTCGCATTCACATTTCTGTTCATTTCTGTCTGCTCCCGACTGTGTGGTGGGCTCCTGGTGGTGAGGGACTGAGTTTTGTTACTCACCTGTTCTCCAGGTCTGCCTGGCATCCTGCCTGGAGCACCTAGGCAGGTGCTCAATGAATGTTTGTTGGTTGAAGCCCTGTCATGGAGAGCCAGGTCGTGCTTTGAAGTGGGCTCCGAGTGGGTACCAGCCCTGGAGTCGCTGCGCCAGCTTCCAGGAGGTCGGGACGGGGAGGCTCTCGTGGAACACCCCGTGCTCCAGGGCCTCTGGAGAGGGAGGGGACCCCCCTCCCTGGGAGAGGTGCCAGCTCCGAGCTTATCTGCGGGCAGGCGGGGAGCATGGCTGGCTGTGCCTCTGCCTTCCTCCGAGCTTGCTCAGTGCTTTGGCCGCTCGACCCCCCTCCCGTCTGCTGCCCTCTGGGCCATGTTTCCTCAGAACCTCGCTGCTCAGTCGAAGAATCCTCCACTCTCCGCTCTCCCGGGAGAAGCTGGGGTCCCGGGGGGCCAAGGGGCATCTGAGCTCCAGCCTGCAGCCCACTCCACCTTCTAGCTCCCTTCTTTTTTTTTGGTACCGGGGATTGAACTCGGGTCCTTGTGCTTGTGAGGCAGGCAACTGAACCACTGGGCTAAATCCCTCGCTCCCTTCTGTTGCCTCCCCTGCTGCCCATCTCTGTCTCATTCTCCACTCTGCCCGAGGTGCCTCTGGGAAGGAAGGATGCAGGAAGGGTCGTGACCCCGACTTGAGGCCTCCAATTCCCTCTCCTTGATTCTCGCCGATGGGGGAAATGGTGCTGTCCCCTGCCTGCCCCCGTCCATCAGAGCCCTCAGGTGTGCCCAGCCTGTGCCTCAGCCTCTCCCTGCAGGGAGGGGGACCAGGTGGACAGAGCGGGTCAGCCCGATCACCTGCAAGCCCCCCTCAGTCTCATGCTGCCTGCCCTGTCTGTGGTTCTCCTAGGACTTGGGTCCCAGCTTCCTTATCGGGTTAGTGGGTGGAGTGGCTGGCCCATGTCCTGCTCTGACAGAACCAGCTGGAACCGGGTCTCCCGTGACCGTGACTGTGACTCGCCCTGCCTCTCTGGGAAGGGTGGGGTCCTGATGATAAGGTGGGGCGAGAACCCACGTCACCTGGGCTGAGCCAGTGCCCTCTCAGGTTCAGTGTGCACCTGTGTGTGTGTGTTGGCGCTCATGTGCCTGTGTGAGGCATGAGGGGGCAAGACTTGCTCTGAAGCTTTTTTGTGTGGTCCTGAGGATCAAACCTAGAGGGCCTCTACTACTGAGCTCTGGCCCCAGCCCTTCTCAGTTTTAATTTTGAAACAGTCTCACTATGTGGCCCAGATTGGCCTGGAACTTTCAATCCTCCTGCCTCAGCCTCCCCAGGAGCAGGAATTATAGCCCTGCACCACCACACCCAGCTTTCGACCTCTTCATTGGCTCCGAGAGCCCAGGAGCCAACTCTGTCCTCCCATCTGGGCCCTCTTGTCTCCATCGCTTCGCCCATCCAACCCCACCACCATTTTTCCTACTCTTGGAGGGATTATGATCTTCTGCAGGAAACTAGCTAGGTTTTCTTGATTGTTTTTCCTGGTATCGAGGCCAGGGCCTTGTGTGTCCTCAGCAAGCACTCTGCCATCGAGCTACGCCCTGCCCAAAGCAAGCCAGCTCTTCACCCCACGTCTGAGTGCTCTTCACCACCAACTGTGTCAAAGCTTTAAAGTTAGTGCTGGGGATTTAGCTCAGTGGTTTCGCTGCCTGCTGCGCAAGTGCAAGGATCTGAGTTCAATCCCTGGTACCAAAAAAAAAAAAAGCTTTAAATTTAGCAAATCGGCATTGAATCCTAATTGTGGAGAGAAGTTCTTTCATCCCAGGCTGTGGCTAAGGGCTTGCTTTGGCAGCTTGTACAGACTACTCTAAATTCCTCATAACACTAAACATGGGAAATCGAAGTGGTTATTAGTATGAACTATTAATATTGCTAGCCCTTGTCGAATGTTTAATGCATGGTTGCTAAATACTTTATGTGCATTTAATTATCCAACCAGCTCTGTGAGAGGTGCTAGCATGTTGGCACATTTCCCGTTTTTAATTCTCTTTGTCTGCCTACCATCTCTATCTATCTATCAACCGTTTATCCTCTAACCTGTGGTGCTAGGGTTGAGCCAAGACCTGGTGCTTGCTGGGCATGGGCTGGCCCTGAGCCTCTCATTTTCTTAGCTGAGGGGCCTGAGGTTCTCCCAGCCTCTTCACAGGACACACTGGCTATTCGAGTGGCCCTGCTCTTCCAGAGCTTGGTCTGGGGTCCACTCCCCTCGCCTGCCTTCCTGTGGTTGGTGGCAGCCCCCTCCTCTGTGAGTCCTTCCACAGCCCCAGGTCTTCAGAAGCTTTGGGCTGGGCTGGGCTGGGCTGAAGTCAGCCCGGGCAGGGCACCTAGGCTCCATCAGAGACCCAGGTTCTACCCAAGCAGGTGCCTGGGGAATCCCAGAGGGGAGACCAAGAAAACCAGGGGTGGACTCGGGGCTGGAGGTCAGCTGTAGCTCAAAGGGAGAGAGGCAGGAGCTCTGGTCCCAAGCCTGAAGCCCTAGGCCTCTGCTCCGCTGGTCTTCCTGCTTTTCTCACGGCCTTGGCCTTGAGTTGGGGATGGGTACAGCGAGTGAATGTGGGGCCGGTGTTGTAGAATTCGCCTGGGAGGAAGCTGCTCAGGCAGAGACGCCACCGATGCCCACCCCTGATGGGAGCTGCGGCTGGGAGTCTCACTGTGGAGGGACTGGGAACTAGGAATTGGGGCTTCTCTGTTGGGCCTCTCGGGGCCTCCCCAAAGCCAGAGGGCTGTAGTAAATTCTCTCCAGGGGCAGTTCTGTGAATGTGTCTGAATATTTGGGGACAGCCCCTGAGATCCGTGTTTCCAGGTCACCTTCACAGGGCCGCCTCGCCCATCTTCAAGGCATCGCTTTCCTCCTGTAGGTGGGCTCAGGCTCAGAGCGGGTTTCCTGCCGCCCAGGATCGGTGGCAGTGTCAGGGTGCCAGCTGGGGGACCTCAGGCAGAGACTGGAAGAGAACCTGCCGGACGGACGGTTGGTGGGGCTGAGGGTCAGGGTCCCAGGCAGGCAGAAAATGAGAACTGGGGCTCATGCTGGGGAAACTGCTGCATGTCAAGCCTGTATTTACCCTGTGAGACAGCCGCTTGTCTGTCCTGTCTCAAAAAACCCTCCAGAAGCCCTACAAGATAGGCTGTTTTCATTTGCAAATTGGAAATGGGCTCAAAGAGGTGGGATTATGTGTTTGAGCTCACCCAGCTAAAGAGTAGAGGATTCTGAGCTGGGACACATAAGTGTGACTCCCTAACCCCAGGTCTTCCCACTGCTTTTCCATCTGTGAAAGGCCGGCCCTGGGGTGACGGGAGTCGTCGCCGCCCCGCCCCTGCTGTTGGGGGGAGTGGTGGGATTGCTGGGCTGGCGGGGTGCACGGGCCTGGGAGGTGGGGCACGGCCTGCGGCCTCACCACAAAGCGTTAAAGGCCTCTCCCGCCTCCTCCCCGCCTCCTCCGCAGCTCTTCCTGTCTGGTGCAACACCCGCCTGCTGCTCTCCCTTCCCCTCCCAACCCTCTGCTCTCGCTTTAGTTTTCGGACTTGGTCTCCAGTTCTGGCCTCCGGGCTTTGGGGACCCCAGGCGGGGCGGTGACCTCCACCCCCACTCCCAGCGCTTGCTTCTCCCTCCAAGCCGAACCCGGGGCTCTGGGGACCTTCTGGTCAGACTCCGACCACTGCACCACAGCCGTCCCAGCCCCATGGGGGAGTGAGAGGCCCCCGCTGGCCGGACATGGGCCTCCCCACCGTGCCTGGCCCGCTGCTGCCACTGGTGAGAGGGGAGACTGCGCTGGTGGGGTGGCGCCCCGGGCAGGAGGGGGCCGACCCAGGAAGGGGAGACGCTCCTGCCTGGGGCCTGGCAGTCAGCTCTTCGGGTCACAGCAGCCCGGGAGGCAGAGGCCTGAGAGGGGGAGGAGAAAGTGGAAGGCTGGAACCGGCCTTGTGCAGGACCTTGGGGGCAGGTGGAGGCCTGCTGGGGTCCGGGCACAGGTCAGGGGTGGGGATTTGGCAGGTGGGGGAGAAGAGGAGCCTGAGAAGAGAGGTGGCTGGATTCGGGGCTGGGGGCATAGGCCGTCCAGGTGCTGATCCCGGGTCGGTCGGGTCGGGGCTGTGGGGCTGCGGGCTCTGCCTGGGCAGCCCCTGCAGGGCCTGGCTTGTGAAATGGGGAAACTAAGTCCAGGAGGGGACAAGCTGGGCAGCAGGTCTGGGGTGTGTGGGGCTATCTGGGAGTGGAATGGGAAGCAGCACAGGGCCAGGGAAGCCCGGTGGAGGGCCCCTCACTAAGGGCGCTGGCTTTGCCCCTCCGCCCCAGGCTGTTTCCAAAGGGCTGGCCTGGGTTGGACCGACCTGCCTAGGCCACTAGCCCCTCCTCCATCTGCCGGCCAGTGTCCATCATTTGGCTTCTTACTGCATAGTTCTCTTTGGGGAAGTTGGTAGCAGGTTGTTTTCGTCACTGGGAAATGCCCCCTCTCTGGCTCAGCTTGTTTTAAGGTGCTTGGCGTCCTCAGTGTGCTGGCCGCCAGACCCCCTCACTGGCTAGTGGGGGACTTGCTCCCCTGTGTGTGTGCGTGACCTCTCCCGGGTCGCTGCCCCTCTCCAGGCCGGGAACAGTGGCTGCCTTGCCTCCTTTTCTCTCCCACCATCCCTTCCTTTCCCGCTCCTGAGCCGCCCCCCGCCGCCATCTGTCTCTGCTCTGGTCCTACATTTCAGTGGCCCTGGGCAGCACCTGCCTGGCCAGTGGTCTTGCTCTGTCCTCCTCCCTCTTCCTGACCCCACCCACCTGTCCCTTTCCCAGGACTTCCTGCTCTCTTCCCCGCACTGCCAGCTGCGGGTCCTCTTAACTGTGCTCTCTGAGGTGAACCTCACTTGCCTCCCTCCCCGCAGAGCTGCACGGCTTATGTGACCCCTTCACACCTTAATTTCTTACCTCTAAAATGAGCATAGTGGTCAACACCTCCTGGTGAATTTAAGATTAAATAGATGGACACACGTGAAGTATGTATTCAATTTGTCAAGTGCCTGCTCTGCTAGACTGTTTCAGGTGGTGGGACATGGTGTGAGTGAAACTTCTCTCCTCTAGTTTAGGGTCTCTAGGGGAACAGGGGAAAGCAGGGAGAACACATGCAAAGCAACCGGAACCAACACTTGGCTTTTATAGCGATGTCCGTAGGGGTGTTTGCTGTACTTATTCTCTGGGAAACTGAGGAAATGAAGGTGGCTGGTGGGGCTGCTGGAGCTGGAGGTGCTAACACCCGAAGGGCAGTGTGGGTGTGGTGTGCGGGGCGGCGGGGAGGCCGGGACAGTGAACGCAGGACTGAGCATGGCTGAGTGTACAGCAGAGCTTCTGTACGATCTGATCCTTGACGGCTTAGGGTGAAAAACCAATCCAGAAACACTGGGGAGAAAGGACAGCCCGGGAACATGGGGAACGGAACAGGGGAGGGATGCGTCTGGTCCAGCGGCCTGTTTATGTCAGCAGGTCTCAGCCAAAGGGCAACCCTGCACAGTGCCTGGGCTCACGGTGGACGTCTCTGACCCGTCCAGGGCTGGGAATTATCCATCTCAGCAAACCCCGCACCTGGCTGGGGCCTGGCATGGAGGCTTTGACCTTAACTAGTAACCAAAAGAACAAGGGATTGGTCTGGTAGTGAGGGAGGGAAAGCCTCCGAGGAGAGTGGGTTTGGAGCTGACCTCTGACATCACTGCCTGGGGGAGTGGGAAGGAGGCGGAGGAGTTGGGAGGTTGGTTTAGGGGAAGTAGAGGAATGCAGATGGGGATTTTGTTGAGGAGGTGGGGACAGGAGCTGAACACCTTTGCTGGAGTGACCATTGTGAAGAACACTAAGAAGTGCATTTGGGAACCCCGGGGTGAGTGGGAAGAGTGAGAAAAGAATCTTGAGTGTGGATCCAGGTGCAAGCATTCCTTTCCTTTCCTTCCCCCTTTCCCTTTTCCGCTTCCCCTTCCTCTTCCCCCTTTCGTTTCCCTTCTCCTTTCCCCTTCCTCCACTCCCTTCCCTTGGCAGTCTCCTTCCCCTTCCTCTCCTGTCCCTCCCTCCTTTATTCCCCAAGCCCACTCTGCACCTGGACCTGGACCGGTGTCAGCACAGCAGTGGGAAATCTGGCGCCCACATGCAAGGAAGGAGCGCCCCAGGGCAATCTGTTTGAAGTCAGGCCCTGAAGACGAAAAGGACCCACACACAGCTGTGTGCAGGCTGCAACATGAGTGCAGATAAGAAAGTATGTAGGGTGCTGGCTGAGGCGCCTGTAATCCCAACTACCTGGGAGGCTGAGGCCAAAGATTTACTTGAGCCCAGGAGTTTAGGGCCAGCATGGGCACCACAGTTGGATCCTGTCTCAAAAAAGAAAAAAGAAAGTGTGTAGAGGGATTGGAACACGAAAGAGGAAGACAGTCACGGTAATAAACAATCCGGGTGTGGGGCAACCAAGGGACAGCGAGAGGACGGGGGATCCCAGAGGAAGGATGGCATGACACCTGACAGACAGGATGGCACAGGCTAGGGACAGGTCATGAGCTGTGGCGGAAGTCTTGGCACGGACGTCATGAAGTTGGAGATGAGACCTGTGTCTGCAGGAGATGAGCAAACTCGGTTCCTGGCATGCTTCGTGTTGAGGACTAGCCAGGTGGAAGTGCAGGTCCAGCAGGCTGGGGCAGAAGGCCTCAGCCTCCCCCTGCCTCCGCACTGTGCTCACTTGCCAGGGGTCCCCAAGGAGAGGGGCGTGTCCCCTGCTGCCCAGGTGTGGAGGGGCAGGGGCGGATACCCTGGAGAAAGCTGCATTCCTACGGGTGCTGCCTCCATCCACCTCCCTCCCGCAGGCTTCAGGGAAGGCAGGTTGTAAACTCATGTGTGTGTCCTTCCATTCTTCAGGCCTGGTTTGGGGAGCCAGGAGGGTAAGACCCGGTCTGACCAATACTCTCTCTGATGTCTTGTCTCACAGGGCTTGTGGTCTGTCGGGGAGATCCTATCTACTTATTGGAAAGACTCATATTAGGATAAGACCCCAAAGTAGACATGGTCAGGTTCCTCAACACCGACGCTGAGTGTCCAGAGTCCACGAGGCATCAGCCGAGGGGTTCTCGGGCAAAAGGGGGACTCCAGCAGGGCGCCTGCAGCAGTGGCTGGCTGTCTCGGGCTCCCCGGGGGTTGTGACATGCAATGGAACAAACATTTTAATTTAATGACACAATGCTGCGGGGGAGGGAAGAGCACAGCACAGCCAGTCTCCGAGGGAGGTGCGGGTCGGGTCGGGTTGGGGTCACACCACAGGGTCCACGGCTTCGCTGCTGCTGCCCCACTCAGCAGCCCCTACACAGGAAGTCACACCTCACCTCAGGCCTCCACAGGCCAGGGGGAAGCTGCAGGGAGTTGGAGAGGTGCTGGGCCACCCCCTCAACTGTCCTCCACAGCAGCCCCTGCTTCCCGCCCTTCCTCAGCGCCAGAGGAGAGGCCCTAGGCACTCTGCTCCGGCTCCTGGGCCACACCACGCGCACACGCTCGAACACGCTCGCACACGCTCGCACTGAGGGCCCTGGGACTGCGGGTGCGGAGGCCTGACCCGGAACCTGGGGCAGTGGGGGTCAGGAGAGTGCTACCCTGACTCCTGCTGCTCCCTCATTCCTGGAAGTGGAAGTCCAGACTCTGCAGTTCTTCCTGTGCCTCCAGTTGGTGGGGAGGAGTTATGGGGCCCCAGAACTGGCCCTGATCCCTAAGGACTGTCTTCGGAAGCCTCCAAACCGACGAAACTCCCCAGACCCAGGCCGGCTGTGGGAGTGTGGTGAACCCAGGGTGGGAGGGCAGCCTGCCTGTGCTTCTCGGGGGAGCGGGGAGCGCCAGGGGGCGAGTTCGAGAGCCCAGGGACAGGCAACGGTTTATCTTCCCAGAAGGAATGGGGAGGGGCCAAGCCTAAGGAAGGACGGGGTGGGCTGGGCGGAGCCGAGCATCCTGGAGGGGGCAGCTCCTGACCTGAGGGGAGGAAGCCAGGGGTAGAGGGAGACTTCCCTTGGGGATGGAACTGGAGAGGGGACATTTCCTGTAATCCGTGGGCCAAGTGGGACGGCGTCATTGCTTGGCTCCTTCAAGGGGGAAGGGGCAGAAAGGGGCTCTGAGTGGGGACGGGAGGGAGAGGGATCAGACAGGGTCCCACTTGCTGCTGGGCCCCCATTTGCTGCTGGGAGCTTTCTTCTGCTGACTCATGACCCTTGAGGAGCTGGGGAAGCTGCTAGTTCCCATCTTCTCCACTAGATCCCCTCCCTCTGGCCTGAGTCACTGGGGCGGAGCTGCTGGGAAAAGGTTTTCCCTTTCCCAGATCTGCCTTAACCCCCAAAGTTCTGGAGAAGGAGGGCCGCTGGTCTGTGGCCTGGGAAAGCCTCTCCCCAACTCCCTGTAGGGAGGCTCCCCCACCCCTCCACACGAGTGGCTACCCCAGGACTGGAGCTTTGCCGGCTCTGCCCCAGCCCCCTGGGTGGGATTCCAAGAGCTAAGGACCTTAGGGGGGCCAAGCTCTTCTTGGGGGAGAGGAACCACTTGTTCAGGATCCGGAAGCTCTTCTTATAACCAGCCCTTCCTGTCTCCCTGGAAGGCACTGCCCTGCTTCGAGGGCTGCTGCTTGGGTTTCTGTGAGAGGCGTGCCAGGTTTGTGAAGAGGCTCGGGCTTCCGGACCGTGCAGCTGCGGTAGGGGCTCCCGAGGAACGTAGGGGCTCCCGAGGAACGACAGGGTGCGACCTGCCTTCGGCTCACAGGCTGGAGCCGCTGCTCTCCTGGGCTGGGGTTTCTGTGATCGATAAGTCTGTTCCTCCCCAGGGTGTACTATTCTTGGAGGACACCTCTATTTTTACGTAAAGTGACTCATAGAAGAGAGGGAAAAAAACATCAAGACCCAGGAAGAAGCAGAAATGAAGCTGAGAGAGCAAAGTCTGAAAGCAGGAGCTAAATTCTGACAGCTGGCTTTTGTTTTCTTGAAACTGGAGCCAGAATCGGGAAAGCCCTTCAGCTTCCGGGGGTTTGGCCTGAGGCTATGCAGCCTGGGCTCGTTGCAAAGAGCGCGGGGCTCCCTGCCCTCAGCACCTGACCTGTCCCTCCTGTGACCCACAGGCCTTTGCCCTTGCCTGGCCTCCCAAACTTTGTAGACTCCTCCCCCATGACCCCCTCAATTTCTGCTCTGACTGCCCTTGTCTTGGCCAAGCTGGTGCATTTACCAGTGGGAGGAGGGGCAGGGTCCCCAGTAACATAACTGTACAAAGAAATTCTTCCTTCTGCTTCTACCCACTCCCCAGCAGTGGTGCCTGGGAACACCACTCACCTCCACCCCCATCTGATTTTTTCAAAATACTTTTTGGTGCTGTAACATAATCCAGGAAAGTTCATGGAACCTGACCGTTCACCTCCGAGAGTGGTCAGGACGCGAATGTGCTGGGAACCCCTGGCCAGCCTGAGAAATCCCATCCCCCATCTTCCGAAAGGGCCATCTTCAAAGTAGACCGCTAGTTTCCGATCCAAAACCATTCTCCGGACTGGGGGTGTAGCTCACGGTTGAGTGTGCGTTCAGCATGTGCCAGGGCCCTGGTACCATCCCCTGCACAGCGAGCAACAAAGAAGCATTCCTTGAAAATCTGCCTTGTACCCAGCACTAGGGGCTTCAGCAGCGGGCAGCGCTGAGTCAGGGCACAAGGCTGGCCCTGGGGCCTGCTGCCCTGCTACTTACCATCAGAAGATAAGCACTAGATCACTCGCTCAGGGCAGGGTCCTGAGCTGGGAGGTGTGGGGTTGCTGCCACCCAGCCCCCCTCCCTGCCTCTCTAGTGGGACTCTTTTTCCTCTGATCTCCCCCAGGTGCTCCTGGCTCTGCTGGTGGGGATACATTCATCAGGTGTCATTGGCCTGGTCCCTTCCTTTGGGGATCGGGAGAAGAGGGAGAGTCCGTGTCCCCAGGGAAAATACAGCCACCCTCAAAACAATTCCATCTGCTGCACCAAGTGCCACAAAGGTAGGAGAAGGTGGTGATGGCCCCTCCGTTATGGAGCCTGCGGTCTTCATTTGGTTATTCCGGATGTTCTAGGGTTGAGGTGCCTGCCCCAAGCCTCTCCCCTATCGCTCCCTTGTGCAGGGACTGGGGGGAAGTGGCCCTGCTGGTCTCCCCAGCACAAGGCTCTTTTCTTGGCTTCTCTGCGGCAGCCTAACCCTGCCTGTGCTGTTCACAGGGACCTACTTGCACAATGACTGCCTGGGCCCCGGGCTGGACACGGACTGCAGGGAGTGTGCAAGCGGCACCTTCACCTCCACTGAGAACCACTCCCCTGTGTGCCTCACCTGCTCCAGCTGTCGGAAAGGTCGGGCTCCTGGGGGCGGGCCTGGTCCAGGGGCTGGGGCTGCTGCAGCTGTCAGGCGATCTGCAAATTGGTGCTGGCCGTGCAGGCAGGACGTGTGTGCATGGGTGTGAGTGTGAGTTACACAGACAGACACACATGGCAAGGGGTCTCAAGGGGGATGCAGGGGCACAAGCCTGTCATCTCAGGTAGTCGGAGGCCGAGGCAGGAGGATTGTTGGTTCCAGGCCAGCCTTCGAAGTTTAGGGACTTAGAGACCCTATCTCAAGGTGAAAACTAAAAAGGGCTGGGATCTTCTCAGTGGGAGAAACGCTCTGGGCTCCATTCCCAGGACTGCTGGAAAGGGGAAGTAGAGTTAACATGGAAAAGCAGTGAAGCATGTCCCCTTTCTTCTCACCAGAACTGCTCCAGGTGGAGCTTTCTCCTTGCACAGTGGACCAGGACACTGTGTGTGGCTGCAGGAAGAACCAGTTCCGGAACTATTATGGGGAAACATATTTCCGGTGCACGGACTGCAGCCAGTGCCTCAATGGCACCGTGACGATCCGATGTGAGCACGGCCGGCCACGCCCACACCCTGTCCCCACCCCACCTGGGGCCAGCCCATCCCCCAGAAGGAAGGGGCCACCTTCTGTACCTTTCCTGAGGGGCAGCTCCTCCTGTCCTTCCTGCGCCCGCCCCGGGGTCTGCCCTGGCCACTGCACCCTGTCCCTCCACCGTCCTCTGGGCCTGGGGCGAAGAATGTGTCTCCTTTAGCTACGGCTTCTCCCTGCAGGCCAGGAGAGACAGAACACTGTGTGCCTCTGCCACACAGGCTTCTTTCTGAGAGGCAGCAAGTGTGTCTCTTGCAGCGAGTGAGTATCTGTCTGCCAGCTGCTGGCATGGGTGGGGGTATATGGGGTGCCCTGGGATGGAGTGGGGGCAGCTGAGAGCTAGTGACAAGGCAAGGGAGACCCCCAGAGTGCTCAGGCTCTTACTGACTGGCTGGGTGTGTGGTGGGGGCCCGTGACTATAACTCCAGCACTCTGGGAGGCTGAGGCATGAGGATTGCAAATTTGAGCCAGCCTGGGCAAAGTTAGCGATTTAATCCAGATCATCTCAAAAGTGAAAAAGGGCTTCGTGCAAAGGCCTTGGGCTTAACCTCGGGCTTAACCTCCAGTACTGAAAGATAAAAAACATTTTAAAATGATGCTAGGTAGTCCTTTCCTTCTCTCTTCCCCACAAAATGGCCCTTAAATCTTAAAATGCACTTGGGGATAGACGCTCAGCCCCAAGACTGGGAACCCTTCCAACTCAGGGCTTTGGGCCCTTGGGCAGTGAGTTCTGCTATTGTCTATTGACTCTAGGACTTACACCTTCCCAGTTGTGAATTCAGACTGTCTTACCATGGATGATATGTCAGGATTTAATTGGCATTGCTGTGCATGCATGTGTGTGTGCATACACGCATGTATGTGTGGTATGTAAAGTTCGGTGCTGCTTATTACTGATGCATCTTAGGATTGCTGAGTGTGTTCCCCTCCCTCCAGGGCCCTTGACTAGGCCTCCACAAAGCCTGTTCTTGCACACTTGCTTGCACAGAAGAAACCCAAGGGTTCTCAGGGGTGAACTGACCTAGGTTTAGACCCCAGGCTGGCTGCTTACTGGCTGGGTGACGTTGGCAAGTTATTAAGATCCCTGAGCCTTAACTCTCTTTACCTGTAAAGCAGTGAGGCTCAGGGTATAGCTCAGAGGTAGGGCATTGCCTAGCATGTGCGAAGGCCTGGCATAGATTCCCCAGCACTGAAACAAGTGTCTGACACAAAGCTATTTATTTTCTACCACTAAGCTTCATCTCTTCTTGAAAGAGCTCTTGCACCCATGTCATAAGCTTGTAAGATGACAAAAGTGCCTCTCCCTGCTTTTAGATTCTGGGGAGGACTTACACTCTCAAGTTCCTCTGTGCAGTTCTCATCACACTGTACTGCTCAGGGGTATTCCCAGGACAGAACGATGTGCTGGTTCTATAGAGGGGTTTCACATGCATATCTGACCCCCAAATCAGGTACTATAACTAGCAGTATCATTTGAGAAAAAGCCCTTTAACATCTTGTGTTAGCTTTCAGTTGCTCTGACAAAACCTGAATAATAAATTTATAAGGAGGAAAAACATTGATTTAGGTTCACAGTTTCCAAGGGTTCAGTCTGTGGTTGGCTGGCTGTGTTTTGGGGCCTGTGGTGAGGCAGCCCATCATGGGGGAATGCATAGTGGAACAAACCTGCTCACTTCATGAGAAGCAAAGAGAGGAAGAGGCCAGGGTCCTGATGTCTCATTAGAAAGCACACCCTAGTCACCTAATTTCCTTCCATGAGCCCTGCCTCCTAAAAGTTTTACCATCTCCCAGTAGCACCCCAGGCTGGGAACCAAGCCTGTATCACATGAGCCCTTCAAGGACATTCTAGACCCAAACCATAGCACCCTCTATGCCATAATCTCACCTGCAAAACAAGGATAAATAACTACTCAAAGACAGTGATCATTTCCTGAGCAGGTACTGTGTTAAGCCTAATTATGCTAGTCCTCAAGACTGGGGTGGGTATGATCCCTAGGCTTAGGGATGAAATGGCTTACTTGTGTCACACTGTCAGCCAGTGAATGGACTTGAATTTATACTCTGACTTGGACTGCTTTTTGTTTTGTTTTGTGGTGGTGCTGGGGGTTGAACCTAGGACCTTGTGAGTGCTAGGGAAGCACTCTACTACCAAGCTACACTCCAGCCCTGCAGCCTTGACCGCTTTTAACTTTTTCCAACACAGCCTTTTCAAAATCCCTTCTAATTCTAAAATTACATGATTCTGTGATTAACTATGTTTCTTTCTTCTGCATTTGTTCTCAAGAGGTCAAATTCTACTAGGTTAAGAGATAGCAAAACTGGGCTGGAGATTTAGCTCAGTGGTTCCAGCGCCTGCCTTGCAAGCGCAAGGTCCCAAGTTCAATCCCTGGTAAAAAAAAAAAAAAAAAAAAAGATAGCAAAACTATTTTAAAACAAAGAATTTTCAACAGTCTCTCCGTGTGTTTTCTTTTGTGTTCCTCTAAGTGATGAGGCCTGTTCACCAGTGCTGTCTCCCCTTTCAGATGTAAGCAAGACTCGGAGTGCACGAAGTTGTGCCCACACCCTGTAGTTAGGCCCCCCCAGGACTCAGGTGAGGAGAAGTGACTGGAGCCCATGCCCACCTCCCCTCCCGTCATCCTCCCCTCCCCAACTCAGCAGATCTACTTGGTCTCCAGGTACCACAGTGCTGTTGCCCCTGGTGATCCTGTTAGGCCTTTGCCTTTTATCTTTGCTCTTCATCGTTTTAATGTGCCGCTATCCAAGGTGGAAGCCGAAGCTCTACTCTATTGGTGAGGAGAGACTGGGGGGGGCACGGGGTGCGTGGGGTGGAGGCTGGGTGGGAAAGAGGGAGGGGGCGTCTCCTGCAGGAGGCGGCCCCAGGGCTTGGGAGGTCACCTGCATCAGCAGTCCTAGTCCCTGGGGCCCCATAGGCACCGAGGCATGCCACCACAGTCCCCGCAGCCAGCCCCAGCACAGGGTGAGGGCCGAGAGGGGAAGTGAAATTTACGACACTTTGTTTCTTTTTTTCTCAGTTTGTGGGACATCAGCACCCGTGAAAGAGGTGAGAGGAAACCGAGGCTACCCCCAAACTTCCCTAACTGCTCCTTATCATCTCCTACCACCCAGACACTCACCCTGCACCACCCAGGGAGTGGGGGTGGGGGGTGGGGTGTCCCTCAATTCCATCTACCCCAACCCGTCTAGAATGAAGAGGACTTTTGGGCCTCCCTGCTACAGGCTGCCCCTTCTCTCTTTCAGGGCGAGCTGGAAGGAATTACGTCCACTAAGCCCCTCGCCCCGACCCCGGGTTTCAGCCCCACGGCCAGCTGCAGGCTGCCCCCCAGCTCTCCCTCCCCTCCGAGGGGCCCTGGGGACTTCAGGGACGTCGCTGCCCCACCCCTGGGGGCTGAGCCCATCTTCGCCCCGGGGCTCACGGCGGCGCCCGTCCCCAGGGCCGGCCATGGCCACAACGGGGAAGACGGCGCCGACAGCCAAGGAGGGCGCTGGCCGGCCGCAGGCCCCGAGCCCGCAACGCTGTACGCCGTGGTGGACGGCGTGCCTCCGTCCCGCTGGAAGGAGTTCATGCGACGCCTGGGGCTGGGCGAGCATGAGATCGAGCGGCTGGAGCTGCAGAACGGGCGCTGCCTGCGCGAGGCGCACTACAGCATGCTGGCAGCCTGGCGGCAGCGCACCCCGCCACACGAGGCCACGCTGGACCTGCTGGGCCGCGTGCTGTGCGACATGGACCTCCTGGGCTGCCTGGAGGACATCCGGGACACGCTGCGGGGGCGGGCATGCGAGGCCCTGCCCTCCAGTGGCCCTGCACCAATTGGGGCGCCTTCTCGGGGCCTCCGACTAAGCCTGACGCGCGATGCCCTGTGACCCTCCGCTCCCCTCCCCGCGAGGAAGACCTCGAGCGGCAGCCTCTTCCGTGGTGCTACCCTGGCGGAGACGCGGCCCAGGCTTTTCTCAGCGGCCTGACACCGCCTGGAGCCTGAGCTGTGCGGGGCCCGGGGTCTGCACAGGCTGAGTTCGGGCGGGAGCTGGCAGCAAGCCCAGGCCTCACGCCGGCCCGCGTGTGCTGGGCCCAGCGGGGCTGGGGACCCTGCGTGGCCCGGGCCTTGTCGCGTAGCTAAGCAATCTTTGTATCGGTCTCATCACACTAATGGAAGCGGCCTGGCCCTCCCCGGGAGGAGCCAGCCCAGCAGTGGGGCCGCGGCCCGGACTTCTGTGAACACTAAATTCGACATTAAACCTCTGCTTCCCGAGTGGTCGTCTGTGGGTGAAGCTGCGGCGGGCTCTTGTGCCCGGACCCAGGCTCTCCTCTCGCCCGCATCCCACTGGCAGAGCAGTCGTTTCTATACAGCTTTATGTGGGCTCCGGGTGTCTGATACAGAAATGTCCGGGCCTCGCGGAGCAGGCGCCGGGCCAGGCTTCTCAGGGGAAGTCCTCGAGGTAGCGTCCAGGGTGGGGTGGTGGCCTGTACTCTTGGGGAGACTTCCTCTGGGAGAAACGCTAGAGGTCCTCGGCTTTCCTCACGCCTCTCTGAAAGCAGAGGCAGGTGTCAGGTGGAGGTCAGGGGCAGGCAGGCTGCGCTGCAAGAGGCGCTTTCTTTAAAGGTCCGGGCTGTCCTCTGGGGCCCCTTGCACCCCTTCCCCCCACTTACGACACAGACAGGGGGGTGTCCAGCTGTATGATGTGGGGGCCGCGCATCCGCTGCAGCTGGGCGCGCGTCAGCTTCCGAGGCCTGCTGTCCCGGGGCTCGGGGGCTCCCTCTACCCTCTGGCCGGCCAGCTCCTCTCGGATCTCCCGAAGCATGTCCTCGGCCCGGAGCGGGTGGGGACGGGGGCTGCACCCCGGGCTCGGGGAGGGCGGCCCCTCGTCCTCCTCTGAGGACTCCCAGGAGCTCTCCCCGGCAGAGTCGGCGTGGGCCGGGGAGGCCCGCAGCTGGGCCCGGTGCAGGGTCTCCGCCACCACGTTCCGGGCCGAGCCCGCATCCTCCTCCTCAGACGAGGGGGGCGGGTCTCCCCTGGGAAGACTGTGCCCCCTTTGGACCCCTTCCGGCAGTTCGGGGGCACTTCGGCGTTGGGGAGCTTGGGGGTTGGGAGGCTGGGGTCGCAGAGGAACATCTCGGAGCTCCAGGGTGGAGAAGGTGAGCCGAGGGTCCCTCCGAAGAGCCTTGGGGCGCAGACGGCTCAGTGGGGAAGGGGAGCCCTTGAGCGAGCTTGCGATCAAAGTTCCGTAGCCAGAGTCTGAGGCATCATCTGGTACAGAGGGGGTGTCTTCGTCTGTGTCCTCCGTCACCACCAGGTGGGGGACGATGACGGTGAATTCGGGAGCCCTACAATGAAAAGCACGTGTTCAGACTCCGTCTCCGGGGTCATCTCATCTCACTGGCTGAGCTGTGGTCACTAAAAGCGCTTGGCTCCCCCAGGCCATTTTATCCACAGCACCTGGTCCGGGACCTGCGTAGGGCAGATCCCGGGTGGGGATAACTTGGGTTACCCTGGAAGGTGACGCAGGGTGCACCCCAGCGGGGGATTTCTCTTGTTCCCATACGCACGCTGCTACGCAGCTGTGTGACCCTGCGCGATCCTCTCGAACTCTGGAGATCTGGGCTTGCCACTGACCGAGCTCTGATGTTACTACCCAAATCCAGGCTTAGCTTCACTTGGGAGCCCCCCCTCCGGGATTCCCCCGTCCTGTTTCTGGTTCCTCAGATTGTGCCCACCCTGGGCTGGCTCCCCCTACAGGCTGTCCCACGCATCCCTTCTCCTACCCACTCTGCTCCAACCTGTAGGCTGCTGTCCTCTAGGCCAGTTCTGCCAAGGCTATGCTGCCACTTGTCAGCCTTTTGGGTCCCTGCCCTCTGCCTCCCTGCCCGTGGCCTCCCCCCTGGTGGCACAGGTGGGTCTTACCTCCCCTCGGCGCTGCTCTGGGAGCCTTCCAGGGAGGGTGTGGAGGGCCTGGTGCTGGGGCACTCCCGGTCCAAGTCCTGGTAGAGGGCCAGGAGCTCCCTCTTCTGTTGGACATACTCCTCTGCCTTCAGCTTCTGCAGGGTGGCCTGGGGAGGCAGGGCACCTTTGTCCTGAAGAGCTCTCCTTTACGGAGCACTTGTGTGCCTGGCACTGGGCTAAGGGCTTTGCATACATTATCTTGTTTAAACTTCACAACATCCCCATGAGGGTCAGGGCTCTGCTTACCCTATTCCACCACTGAGAAGTGGAGACTCGGTTAAATGCACTCTAAAAAAGCAGGGCGGTGCCAGGTTTGGTGGTGACAACCTCCAGAGCTGGTGCTCTGCATGTGGCCCTGCAGGATGCCCCTTCCTCCTGCACCATTCTCAGGCCCCTGGGTGAGCCCTTCAGGGCATCCTCCCTGGCTGTGGTGCTAGTAGTGTTAGTGCCCTCAGGGTACTGCCCTTGAGCACCCACTCCTGGCACCCAGGTGTCTGCCCTGCAGCTGGGAGGAGCAAGGGGCAGACGGTGGGCAGGGCAGGCTTTGTCTTAGGCTGAGGACGCCGCTCTCCTGCAGAGGTGTGAACAGCAAGAGCGTCCTAGGGGCTGGACCAGGACACATTGCACTGCCTGTCCCTTTCTCAGCATTTACGCAGGTGCAGTGGAATAACACAGGGTACCCGAGACCGGGTTCACAGGCAGGTCTCCACGTGCAGGTGGCGTCCCGTGACACCATCGCCCCTTGGGGTGAAAGCCTGCAGATTGGCCCACTTCACAGAGGAGAGAACTAGATTTGGAGAGATGTAGCAGCTTGCTCGAGGTCACACAGGGGAGAGCACAGCTGGACAGGGCCCTGCTCCAAGTCCTAGTACTGTGCCCCTCCCTCTTTCCCTCCCTCCTCCCCATCCATCCTTCTGTCCGTCCTTCCATCCTTCTTTCCTTCCTCGGGAGTGCTGGCCTTGCACACCTGGCTAACTGCACCACTCTTCAAGCTCTGAAGGGTGAAGGTTGCTGCAGGGAGGAGGCAGAGAACCCACGGAGAGGCTGCAGGGAAAGCTTGGCGAGAGAGAGGGTGGGCAGTGGTGGCTGCTGGGGGTGGTGCTGAGATCATTGCTCGCGGCTACAGCCATGCTGTTAAAATGCTGAAGTGCTTCCACGCGGTAAGGAAATGGCTGTGGCCTGAGCCTCCTGCCTGTCCCCAGGCCCCCTCCTACCATAATCTAGCAATAGAGGGATGACAAACACCCAGCACGGTGGGAGCACCCCCCATGTTGTCAGCCCCTGCAGTGCTCCATTCTGATTGGCTGATGCCCATGCCATAGTCCTTACGTGACTGATATTTCCCAGCTTGAGGTATATGAGCCAGCCGCTCCAGGGACCCTGGGTAGCAGGGCCAGGAAGAGGCACATGGGAGAAATGAACAGGCACACGGAAATGCATGTCAGATATTTCCAAGTCTCCTCTCCCTGGCTCTCAGTCACTCAGCCTGAACAGGGATGGTACCTGGGACCAGGAAGCCGGCACACCAGGGCCCGGCTCTGTGACCACGCCCTCTTCTCACTCTGTATGCCAGGCTCTGTGCCCCGCAGTGTGTGGGTGGGCTGCCCAGGATAGGGCTGTGGTGTGGAAGAAAGGAGCTGGAAGGAAGAAGAGCTTTCTGAAAGGACAACCGCAGCACTAACGTTGAAGAGGGAGGGCGGAGGCACCTTAGGCACCAGGGCAAGGGGCTGCCAGCACCCCTAAAGCTTCTCCAGCAGCCCTGGGAGGTAAGAGGAGAGACCTGGGGGCAGGACAGGAAAAGAACAGGAAACTGGTGGTTCCAGTTAGGATGTGATCCCCCCAACACAGCAGGCTCAGTGAGGGATGGCAGGCTCCCCCTTTATCCTGCAGATGGAGTGCCAGCTCTCCTGCAGGCTCAGGCGGCCCCAGTCACCTGCTGTCCCCACCACTGGACCTGGGCTGACACAGATCTCTGAGAACACCTGCTGACTTCCTGAGTGACAGAAGCTGATGTGTCCCCACCCTGGGAGCACCTCCTGATCCTTTCTTCTAAGGAGGACAAGGGTAGGCATTGGTGGAGCATCCATGAGGTGCAGGGACCTGTGCCAAGCCACTTATGTGATTGATTCTCCACCTATGCCACCGGGTAGTCGCCCTGGTCACTGTGGTTCTCAGATGAAGGCCGGGCCTACAGGTGAATAAATCCCCAGCAACACGTGCCCGAGCAAGGGGCATGGCAGCTGGCTGGACTCCGGCAGCACTGGTTCCTGCTCAGCCACCTTCCTCAGTCCGCCCTGCTGTTATTCTGGGCTGTCATCTCTGGGGCGTCTCTGTTTCTGTCTCAGTTCCCTTTCACTTCCCCAGCTGCTAAGTATGGGCATCTGGCAAGGTTGGTCCCTCGTCCCTGAGAAGCTCATTTTCTCTGGAAGTGTAAGCCACTTCTGCTAGGAGGAAGGACTGTGTGAGCCCTGGGGTGGCTGCGTGAAGGAGGCCAGTAGAGGTCCCCTGGGTCTCCCATTAACAGACTGGGGGTGCCTGAGGGAGGGTTCCCTAGGGACCTGCTGAGACAAGACAGCAAAATGCATTCCAGGCTTCTTTGCTTTGCTGAGGGAGACTCATGGGTCGGAAGTGAGTCCTCTGTCATCCTGGAGTGAGAACGATAGCAGGGTAGATTATTTGGAGTATAAACACCAGCAACCCTCAGGAGTTCTAAAGGTGAAGGCGGAGAGGTTGTCATGAGACTGAAAACCAAGCTGGTGAGGTGGTGCTTGCCTGTAGTTCCAGCACTCTGAAAGGCCAAGAGGCTGAAAGCCTGCCTTCCTGCCTTCTCCCTCCCTCCTTTTGTAATGGGGATTGAACTCAGGGCTTTCACACTAAGCTCCATCCCCAGTCCTTTATTATTATTTTATTTTTTTGAGACAGATTCTCGAAATGCAGTTCAAGCTGGCCTTGAATTCACTATGTAGCCCAGGGTGGCCTTAAACTTGCAGTAATCCTCCTGCCCCAGCCTCCTGAGTGCTGGGGTTACAAACATACACCATCACATCCAGCCCCCAGCCCTGTAAAAGGTTTCTTTTTTTTAAGACAGGGTCTTGCTAGGTCACTAAGTTGCCAAGGTGAGACTTGAACTTTCAATTCTCCTGCCTCAGCCTCCCAGAGTGCAGGGATTACAGGTGTGCAACACTGTGGCTGGGTTTATTTTTTAAATTTTGAGACAGAGTCTTGCTAAGTTGCTAAACTGTCCAGGTGGGAGCAGAACTTGTGTTCCTCCTGCCTCAGCCTCTCAAGTGCTCAGAGGACAGGAGTGTGCCACAGTGCCGAGCTTGAGCGTAGGTTTTTCTGCATTCAGCATGGGCTTTTAACCATATTTCCCTACATCTCACCCATTTCTTCCCTCTTCTTTAGCTCATTTCTTCAGACAAACACTGGTTCCACAGCACCCCTGCCTTGGAGAGTTCAGGGTGCCTCTCTAGCCCCCACGCAACTCATTGGATCCTCCTCCTCCCTCTCCTGCAGTTCTGGGTCGGCTGGAGGTTGTTGGCTGGAGGTTGGCCTCTCACCATTTGCCCAGGAAAACCCAGAGCTCCAGACACAGAGAGGCATGTGCTGCTCCCGGTAAACCCAGCCCCTAGGCCCCTCCCCGCAGGTCCTCCTTATCCTTGGAGGCAAACTGGACAGCCACTCCAGCAGGGGAGGGCCCGCTCTTCCCCAGCCCCACAAACAAACAAAGCCCACTGGAATCTCCTCCCTTGCCCACCTTCCTGCAGGGGGCAGACAGCAGCCCCAGGACCTGTGAAGGGTGACCCACTGGGGACGAGGGGCTCTGCACTGACCCCCAAGGGAAAGAGCTGGGCAGAAGCCCGCACGGACTCTGGATGGATTCTGTCTCATACCCATGTCTCAGGGAGGGAAACTTGTCACAGACAAACGGAGAAGAGGCTGCAGCGAGCTGCCCTAGGCCATGGGACACTGCAGCCTCGGGAAGCTGGGAGCAGCATGGACCCCTGCTGGAGTGGGGCAGGAAGCTCAGCTCTTCCAACATTAAGATCTTGAACTTCCGGCCTCCACAGCCATGAGAGAATTGGGTCTGGTTTTGTTTTGTGCTGTTTTTGGCAGTGCTGGGGATGAAGCTGAGGGCCTGGAGCATGCTAGGTAAGGGCTCTGTCACTGAGCCTGGTTCGCATTGCGTTAAACCACCACATTAGTGGAAACCAATGCAGCTTTATCGAGATCTCGCTTTTCTGGACTGCTTTTATCCCAGGCACCTGCCCATGTCCCTGCCTGCTCCACACCTCTGTGGGCTCCGTGTCATATATAGGACAAAGTTCAACCAGCTGAGTGCAGTGCTAAGCGCAGCCTGAAGTCCCCATGGCACCGACCTCCCGGCCTCTCTCTCGCTGTGTCCGCCCTTGGACTTTAAGCCCTGGCAGCACTAGGTCAGGGTTCTCTCCGCACGCACCTGTTTCCTAGTCTTGGCCTTGCATTCTGCTTCTCCATCCGGATGGCCCCACCCTCCTGCCTGGTCCCCACACGTCCTCCTAGCTCAGCCCCAGTCCTTCCTCAGCTCTGGGGTGAGGGCTTCGGCCTCCCCTCCCCACCCCCCGGAATGCACCTCGCCTTTCCTTGGGCTCCTCAGACATGGTTCTATCATCTCCACACCAGTTACTCTAACTGACTGCAGCTTGGGCCCCTGCAGGGCAGGAATGCTGTTATTCTCTCCTGGTTCTCTCACACCCAGCAAGGGCCCCGGCAGGGCCTGAGTGGCAGATGGGGTTTAGAAAGTAATTGCTTCAGGGTGTCAAAGACATCGGGGCTCAGCTGGCTCAGGGGCTGGAGCGGGCTCTGTTAGGGATGGTCTAGGCCCTGTCCCCTCCTGGGGTGCACCGGAGGGGCGGATGGTCCAGTCTGAACTTGCTTCTAGCCCAGCCTCTCCTGCTTTCTCCCTCTGTGGTCTCCTGAGCCCAGAGCCCTTGCCCATCCCTCCCGATGGCTGGCTTTCACAGACCTGGGCCTCCCATGTCTTCTTCAGCCACTGTGCACAATCCGTGGGACTGCGACAGTATGCAACGAACGCACTGGCGACACACTGGAATTCGGTGAGGCCGATGACCAGGAAGCTGTCTGGATGGAGGAGAAGGTTGGCTTTAATGGTCAGGACTCATCTGACCCCCGCCCTGGGCTTCCCAGCAGGAGAGACCTACTGGGGTCCCGCAGTGGCTGGCATACAAGCTTCTCCAGCATGACAGGGGGGCGGATGATCTTGGCTTTGTCTGCCTTTCGCGGGGGCTTGGTCACCAGGAGCACGTCAGAGAAGAGGAACAGGTACACATCCAGCTGCCGATGGGCCAGAGAGGAAAGAAATGGGTCAGCTGGAGTGTGGGAAGGGCTGTTGGGGGCCGGGCTTTCAGGAGGGCATGCGATGCGGAGGGACTTGGGCGGAGCCGGGAGTGCTAGGCCAGAAGGGAAGGGAGGCTGTTCGGTCCCAGCTCTCAATTTACAGTAGGAAGGGGGTGGGTTCAACGTCATACAAACAACTAGAACTGAGCCTGAACCATGTCCTCTTCCCAACACACACACACGCACATGCACGCACGCACGCACACGCACACGCACGGACGAACACTCACAGGTACGCATGCACTTCCCCGCGGACCGCTCCCGCTGACATCCCCGTCTTCTCACTCCCAGCAAGGCTGGCTTACCTTCCCATCTCGCCCCTCCTTCATTCGCACGGGTCCCTCCAGCAGCAGCTGCCTGGTGTGCTCCGGGGAGACGCCCAGCATGGGCGACATCAAGTCCAGGGTGGAGAACGGACGCAGGCTCTGAGGGACATGCAGGCGGGGGTGTCCACCCTCTTTCCACCCTTCCCACCTGGAGCCAGAGCCCAGTACCTCCTTTCGAACTGTCTAAACTCCATCCCCGGGCTTCACCACCAGAAGGAATGCTGGGCACCCTCTGCGGCACCCCGACGGGTGTGCTGACCTCCGCTCCTTCCCCACGTTCCCCAGAACTGGCATTTCTGAGCCCGCTTTTCTCCGTCCCTGCTAACCTTCTCCACCTCCTCACTGGGCGGCTCCAGCACCTCGTAGGGACCGATGCGTTGCGCTGCAGCCACCAGGCTGTCGTGCTCTTCGCCCTGGCGCACCTGCGCGTTGATGTGGAGCAGGAACGACTCCACAGCTGCAATCTGGTGGAGGAGGAGGGGCAGCTCAGCTCCGCACCTCCCACAGCCTCCGCCACAGCGGGCCATCCGAGAGCCCCTGAGCACCGATCCCCCTGGCCAGCTCCACCCCCACCTACCATGGTGCTCAGGGCCTCCTGGGCGCGAGCGTCTGGGCTCCTCTTCAGCACCGCCCGGAGTAGCAGCGGGTACTTGGTGACACGCTGGTGAGGCTTGATGAGCAGGTCGCCCAGTGTCTGCCGCCCCGAGCGCGTGTGTTGCTCACACCACTGCGGGGGCGGGGAGCTCAGGCGTCTGCGGGCCCTCGCTGCCCCCCACCCCGGGGACCCTGCGTACCACCCCGAACTGCCCAGGGCCTCTATTCCACCTGCACGAAGGCATGGAAGAGAGGGTTGGTGTCTTGCTGCTCCTGGGCATAAGCCATGGTCTGCTTCACTCTCAGGCAGTACTGGACGTAGGGCTGGAACCGCTGGCCAAACTGGGGGGACAGGTAAAGGGCCAGGGAAGAGGGTTGCAAATGCAGACTGTGGCTGCAGATCAAGGGAGCAGGATGGCACAGAGCCTCCCATGGCACGGCGTGTGCGGAAGCTGCTCCCCGGACTCCTCCCCCTAGGCTTGTACCACTGGCCAGGATCCCCCTCTTTATTCTGGGGAGTGCTGAGGCTGGGTGGACCCAGGCCGTCCTCGGAGCTCCTGCCCTCCCGTCCTGAGCCCGTCCCTGCACTTGCTCTCCCACCATCAATCATTCAGCCTGCCTGTTTTAGGACACGGAGCTCCTACTTCTGTGACCGCAGGTCCCCCGGAGCCTGCTCCTGCAGAAGGGGCACCAAGGCTCCCTGAGACTGTCCCCTCCCTCTCCACCCCACACCACCATCATCTGTGGAAGAAGGCTGGCCCTGCCTCTGGCTGTCGCTTTCACTCTCCTCCATGCTCCATACTCTGGGCCCCGGGCTCCCCTCCCTTAGGCCCCTGTCTTGGGCCCGGCTGTTGTTGATGGATTTCTAACCAAGGATATGTTTTTTTTTTTGGTACCGGAGATTGAACTCGGGTCCTTGAGCTTGCGCAGCAGGCGGTGAAACTACTGAGCTAAATCCCCGGCCCGACCAAGTATATGATTTTATAGTGGATGAGAGCGTAGGCGCCACCTGTCCCCGAGTCTTCATCTCACTGGAGCCTCCAGAGGACAGGTCAAACTCTCGGGATGGAGATGTTCGGGGTTAGACTTGAGCCCCATGGGCGAGGTCCCACTGGATCCCCCAGCCCTGCCCTTCCTGAGTGCCTGTCCTCAGGCTCACCGTCAGGAAGCCGTTCTGCAGTGTGATGGGGTCCAGAGGCTGGCCTGAGGCTCGAGTCTCCTCCAGGAATGGCAGTAGCACCTCCTCCCAAAAGCTCTGGTGGGCTCGGATGAGGCTGGGGACTTTTCCAAACAGGGTCTCAGCCGACACCTGCAGAGGCGGAGCTCAGCAGCAGGACTTTGCTGGGTCACCATCAGGGGGGACCAGCAGCCTGGACTGTAGGGTGGGCTTGCCAGAAAATGCAAGGGGGCTGTGGGCAGAATCCTGGGACACTGGGGGGCCTGGCGCAAATTGGGGGCAGGAGGGGCAGGGGGGTCCCAGAAAATGGGGTGGTGGGAATTCAGACTGGGCCTCTGAGGCCCCACTCACTTCTCTCAGCAGCCCCACCCGCTGCAGGTTCAGCAGACCAGCGGTCAGGAGCTAGAGGCAGGACAGAGATGATGGCTCGGCCCCGCCTGCTGGCTTCACTGGGGCCTGAGCCCTCCTGGGGCCCTGCCCTCCTCCCCAGGGACCTCCCTGCCCTTCACCAGGGAGAGCTGGGCTGGGGGTAGGGGAGGGAGTGGGGGGCCCAGCTCACATCAGTCATAATCTTGAGCTTCCTCACATAGGCTAGCTCAGTGGTCAGCAGCTCCCACAGGGCCTCCTGCTGGTGGCGGAGCCCCAGGCTCATCTCCTGGGGAGGACAGTACGGGTTCACTCAGGGAAGGATGGCAACGGCAGGGACCATACAGGCCTCTGTACTCGTGTGGCCTTCCAGCCCTGGGCCAGTCCTGGGCCCACCTTGTGCCCGGGCACCAGCTCCCTCCAGGACTTCTCGATGTTCAGGCCACTGTCACCACCCTTGCCGATCTCCCAGTGGCGCCGGTCCTCGGGGGGCAGGCGGGGCATCCCGAACATGCTGAAGGTGCGAAGCCTCATCTCCAGCTCATGGGCCTTGGTGGCCTCCTGGGAGAGCCAGAAGGGGCCTGGCTAGCCACATCCTCAGCACCCGTACAATGTGGCTCTGGGAGGGCTGTGTGAGTGTGAGTGTGAGTGAGTGTGGGTGTGTCAGTGTGTGAAATAGCGCTGGCTTCAGATCGGGGATGGGGTTACACTGGCTGGACTCCCCGGGGAATAGGTATTGCTGGAACCTAACTGGACAGGCACCTTGGGCTGCAGAAAGATCCCTGGCTCTTGGACAGGCCTGACTGGAGCTCCTGGAGCAGAAAGGGGCCTCCTGATTCAGAACAGAGTCAGACTCTTAGAAAGGCCTTCAAGTGGAGACCAGAAGGGGACTTGGGAAACATGGTCTCAGGTGACACTTTGACATTTGCCCATAAAACAGACATTTAAAATAAAATGTTTTAGACAGGGTCTTGCTATGTAGCCCAGGCTGGCCTTGAGCCCCTGGCAGTCCTCCTGCCTCAGCCTCCCAAGTGCTGGGATGATAGGCATAAGCCACCACACCCAGCAAAACAGACATTTTTATGAAGCAATGTGGTTTAAATTTTATAATTGCTTTCTGGTACTAAATAATTTCGGTGACATGTGTTCCTGACCCTCGGGAGGAGCCGTGGCTTGGGCATGTGGGGGGCACAGCTGGCTTGCACGTTGTGTGGTCATTGCCAAAAGCTGAAAGTTTAATATTAATGCTTTTCCCTTTAGAGTGCACCGGGATGTCTGGAGCACTGGGTACGATGCAAAGGCCAAGTGGAGTGGAGCCATAAGAGGCTCCCATCTGGGCCTCACTGGGCCTGCACCTGCAAGGCCATTGCAGCTGGGCTGTGGGGCCCGAGCACAGGGACCCTTACCTTAAGCTTGGGGGAGTGAGGTAGGCCGACCCCAAAATGCACTCCATGCCTTTTCTCAGGCTCTGGATCTCGCGACACAAAGGGGTGCAGGGCTTGGGGCTGGCCGGGACCCTTGGCAAAGGGGACATAGTGCTGGAAGCGGTGGTGACTGGGGTCCTGTGGGAGGAACAGGGAGCTCTGGGGGCACAGAAGGGCCTGAGAGGTGGAGGGGCCTGGCTTTGCTCAGACACCCCTCCCCTCACACACATGCAGGTCGGCAGGTTCACCAGTCCCTCAAACCAGTTTGGGGTGGCTCTGCGGCCCTGAGTCACAGCGGTGGCTCCTGCCAGGAAGGCCAGGGTGAGTTGTGCAGGCCGTGCCCAGCTGGCTCCCCAGAGGCCCGGGGCAGGGGCGGGAGTTCTCCAGAACAGTGGCACAGGCATGCACACACCCAGCTGGCTGTGCCTGGCCTCTGCCCACTTGCCCAATGCTCCCTGTTCCTCAGGCTTGCAGGGATCCTGCGAGGGGCCTGCTGCACTCGCTCGGAGTCTCTCACAGCCTCCCCTGCCCGTGGCCCACCCTCACAATGGGGACCAGAGCTCCTGCCTGAGTGACCCCCGGCTGGGAGTGGCTGCCCTTCCTTGTGGCAGCTGAGGCCACAGCCACAAGTCTCCTCCCAGGGCAGGCCCAGTCACATTCCTTCATCTGAATTACCCACACTTCCTAGTGTCCCATCCTGCCCTCTGCCTGGGAGGGTTCCCATATCCAAGGGCCAAATCTTCCTCCAGGAGGCCAGGGATACCCCATGCCAGGCAGAACTGTCCTCCAGGCTGGTGGAGGGAGCTCCAGTTTCCACACCCATTTCTCCCTTGGGCTGGAGGTGGGCCAGGCAGGTGGAGCTGGGGGTGGAGCCTCAACAAGCCCAGCCGCCCTTCCCTGCTGGGGATGCCCTAAACCTTTGCTCTTCCTCAGTCCTGCCAGGGAGGTGCATCTCAGGGAGCCCTCAGTCTCCCCAAATTAAGGTTGGGGCCTGGGAGGTGTGTTTGCTACAGCGCTGTGCCTCAGACCCATCTCCTGGCAGCCCCTGCGGCACCCGCTCGGTGGCCAGCTGCCCCCCGTCACTGCCTCTCCTGCCTGCACTATCTGGGACCTGGATAGGAAGTCCTGGGAGCCGCAGCTGGGGAAAGAGGAGGAGGAGGAGGGACAAGAACGGAGCTGCTGATAAACCTGTAAGGGGACAGGGACTTCAAAGCTGGTGTCCTCCCTCCCACCCCACCCAGGTCACCTTTGGGGCACGGCCTGAACTTACCACAGGGGAGTAGGGCTTGCCAGCAGCGCTCTGGGTGCAGGCCTGGTGCCAGCCCCCATAGGCCTTGATTCGGGAGGCCACAAGGCCTTGGAGAGGGCCCTCATCCGGAGGACCACAGGGCTGCATCCCTTCTCCCCTAGGTCATAGCTCCAGTGTTCGGAGAAGCGGGGTCCCCCGAGGCTGCAGAGAGACGGAATGGAAGGGACAGGCTATACCAGTGGGTGGCACAGCTGGAGACTAAGGGGTAGAAGACGGGGTGGAGGAGCCAAGGCTTGGTCACTTGCTGGGGGCACAGCTGCCTCCTCTACAGCTTGGGCATGTCCAGGCTCGGGGGGTTAGCAAGCCCCTCGGACACAGAACGTCCCCTTGTGTGCACGTACGGCCTCCCCTTCCGGGCCTCACAGGATGCTGTCTCCGAGGAGTAGTAGAGGGCAGGGTCACAGGTGAGTCCCTCCTGCTGAGGACAGGACCCCTTGCACCTAGATGCCTGCACACAGCTTGGGAGAAGCCCCTGGAGGACACAGGCTGGGCCCACTGGCCAGAGACGCCCGCCCTGCCATGGGTTCCTGTACAGCCTGCCAGCTAAGAATGGCGTTCTCATTTTTACAGTTGAAAACAAGTCAAAATAAAAATGACATTTTGGGAAAAGTTAAATTCATATGGCATTCAAATCCCAGGCCCCAAATAGTTGATTGGAACGCAGGCGCCTTTACTCATTCACTGTCCTGACTGCTGTCCTGCTGGTGGTGACAGACGGCGCCGAGGTCTACACTGACCCTCAGGCTCGGCACTGAACAGCCGCCTGTTACCTGGACTCTCCTGGCCACAGGTGAGGAAGCCAGGCGGGGACCCTAGAGACCGCCCAGGAGAGCTGTGGTCTGGGAACACCGGCCTCTCCGGACAGGTGGGGCCACCCCATACCTGGGCTGAACACCGGGCTCCAAGAAGCCAGGGCCGAGCGCAAGCCCCGCCCACCAGGTGGGCTCCAGAGCCTGTGCAGGTGGGGGTCCCACCGCCAGGGCCCGCACCGCCAGGGCCCCAAGTCCCTCCTCAGCCCCCCTTGCTTTCAGGCTTGTGCGCCGCCGAGGAGGAGATTCAGGGCTCTCCTGCCCCTCCCGGCCCCGCCCCGCCCCCGACCCCCGGGCCAGGATTCTGCCCCGCCCCGCGCCCGGGCTCCGCCTCACCTCCGCGCAGGTGTCCGGCGCCCGACGTCCTCCGGGGACCCCGTCGCGGCGGCGGCTTCGGCGATGCCAGCCCCGCTGCCCAGCCCGGGACTGGGACCGGAGGCCCGGGGACCCGGCCGGCGCCTGGCGGGGCGGGGCTGGCGGGGCGGCTGAGCGGGGCGGGACCCGGGTGGCACCGCCCCAGCCCGCGGGCACCGCTCGGTGACCGGGTCTGGGGACAGCGGAGAAGCCGGGGGAGCCGACTTCCCGCGCTCCTTCCCGCCTGGCGAGTAACGGGGACAAATGCGGCCCAGCCGCGGCAGGCAGGCCGGTGCCCACCGCCCTCTCCGGGCTTTCTCCATGCTGCTGCCCCGGCCTGGTTCGAACTTCGGGCCAGGAGGAGTGGGGGACCCAGGTACCCCAGGCGCCCTCCCGCTGTCTGGCCGAGGAGTCCAAAGTGTGGCCCTTATCTGGTAGGCAGCTCGCCTGCCCTGGAAGGCTGCACCTGGACTTTGCCTTGCTGCGCAGGGCCAGCGGGCAGGCTGAGCCCGGACCCCATCCTTCTCTCCTTGAGCCCCTCTCCCCTCACCCTGCCCTTCCCAAGGGCCAAGCTGCACCTGCGTGGCTGCTGCTGGGGGAAGGACGCGGCTGGGTACGTGGGAAGTGGCCGCCCACTCTTCGTGCCCCCAGCAGCGGTCGGAAGCTCCGCAGGTCGGGGCCCGCCCCTCGGTCTGCCTCCTGTCCACGGCTGCTCGGTGGCGCGCTGCCCCTTCCAGTCGGACAGCAGCCGAAGCCTCGGAAGCGGGATCTCCCTGGGTCGCCATGGGAATGGTCTCCACCCTGCCCTCCCGTGGAGCGTATTCAGAGAGAGAGAGAGGGACAGGTGTCTGTGAGGGGCAAGAGTGGAGATGAGGCAGAGCTAACCAGGCAGGGGTGATAAATGACACCCAGAGACCCGTGCCCAGGGCGCCAGCTTCTCTTCCCACGTCTCCCGAGGAGTGGAAGGAGAGAGGGAAGCCGGGAGGCCACAGAGATGGCCTGGACTCTCAGTGCCTGGGTGAGCTGGAGGGGAGGCACGCACGGCAGCTTTAACCCTTCCCTTCCCTCGGGATGCGGGCCCCTCCACCCACCAGCGCCCCAGGGCCTGTCTCCAGGCTCCAGGGAAAGCGAGTCTGGGAGCTGTGGGCTGGCAGGCAGGGCTGGCAGGCAGGGATGATGGCTCCCTGGGCTCTGGTTCAGCCTGGTTAGGTTGTGTCTGTCACACCGCCATTTTCCATCGCCTCCATGTGCAGGGCAGAGAAGCTTCCTGTGGCAGCTGAGGGGGGCACAGGTGGGGAGTGGGGAGCCCCGGTTAACAGCTGGGCTGGCAGGCTGGAGCCCTGACCTCTGGCGAGGCTGGAGGTTGCCCGCCCGTCCTCTGCCCAGGGTGGGCAGCCCCGGCCTTGCCTCTTCCTGCTCACCCGGGCTCCCTTTCCAGTGCCCTAGTGTCCCCAGGCAGAGCGCCCTCGCCCGGCCCCCAGCTCCACCCGAAGCAGGGGAGGAGGTGCTGTGTGGAGGTTGCCCTGAGGGTCACTTCTGGGGTTGGCAGAGGCTCCTGGGGCCTGGGCCCTGCCCAGCCACAACTCTTGGGACGAGCAGGCCCCCTGAGTTCACGGGATGCTGCAAGGCTCAGAGGTAGCGACGGAGCTGTGTCCCCACTCAGCGTGGGAAGACACTGGGACTTGAGCTGCGGGCGCCAGTTCAGGTGAGGCAGATGGGCATCAGGAGAGCTGGCTGCTCAGCCAGCGCCCCCCCTTTCCCTCGGCTGGTTCCCTGGCAAGGCCCTGGGAGTCTGTAGGTAAGGAGGAGTCCATGGGGGCCAGTAGCAAACAGCACATTGATGTATATGCCACAGGAGGCATTCTGGGGGAGGCAGGGAGGGTCTCTTGGAGGAGGGAGCTTTTGCTGGGGCTATAGGGGTGAGTAGGAGTCCGCTGAGCAGAGGAGGGAAGGGCTTTTTTAGAGGAGAGAACGGCATGAGCAAAAACATGGATTGGCAGAGTAAGAGAGGGTGCCTGTGTGTGTGTATTTAAATTTTCTTCCTTTTTTTTTTTTTTTTTTGGTACCAGGGATAGAACTCAGGATATTGCACTTGCAAAGCAGGCGCTGTGCCACTGAGCTAAATCCCCGGCCTGACTTTTTTTTCTGAGACAGGGTCTAAGTTGCTAAGTTGCCCAGATGATGTTTGAATTTGCCTTCTCCTGCCTCGGCCTCCCAGAGTGTGGGGTTACGGGCCCCTGTGCCCGGATGACAGCATATGTAACAGGGAAACTGGAGCCTGGTGCTGCGGCCCTGGCCAGTGGCCCCAGCTTCTCGGGAGAGGAGGCCGAGGAGGGACAGTCCCCTGAGCCCAGGGCTGTGGGACCACCCCGGACAGCTTAACAAGACTTCGCCGAAACAAAGCCAGAGCAGGCAGGCTCCCCAGGGGGTCTGAGTCCGTCCTCACACTGCCCTAGTGACCTGCACCCCATCTCTCGGTGATGGCTGAGGGTGTTCAGGGGCGGCCCACATCTGACCCCCGGGACACTCCTGCCTTCTGCTTGCTTTGCCTCTACTTCACCCTGGCTCAGGTCCCATGCTGAGTCTGCCTCGGCCTCCTGACTCCATGCCCTGGCTCGGGCGGCTCCCTGTACCCCCTCAGCTTCTCCCCAGGCCTGCCTCCTCGGGAAGCTTCTCCTGATGCCCCAGCCATCTCATTGAGCCCCTCCCTGCTGGTGCCTGCCCTGGCACCACATGCTGTGGGCATTTGTCTCTGCCCATGTCCTTCCTGGGGGCTGGAGAGCCCCTCGAGCACAGCCTGGCACAGCCGGGTCTCGGTGTCCAGGGAGCAGGCTTGGCGGGCTAGCTGGAGGACCCAGACCGCTGGTTGGGAGGGACTCACCTGCACTGCCACATCCTGTTCCTGCTGGGCCTGCCTTTGTGCTTTAGAAACCCAGAGTTGCCCCATAACTTCTGTTTGGGGTCTTGGCTCCTGAGTGTCTTCCTTTACGTGCCTTCAAAAGGTTCCTGACGCCCCAGGACAAACGAGGCCTGTGGCCATTCCGAGGGGCGTAGCGGCTCCTGGGATGCTGGGGTGAGCTGGACACTGAGGGTGGTGTAGGCTCGGCAGGAAGGGCCCTGAGGTGGCTTAGCCTTGTCTCTCCTGGGGAAGCAAGGGCTCCCTGCCTCCCGGGAGGGTTAGGGCAGGGATGCTGCTGACCCCAGGCATTCCGTTAGGCCACCCCGTGCCCAGCCCAGGAACGGGCAGCTGTTTGCCTCTCACACTCTGGCACATCATCGTAAATCATTGTTTCTAGTTTAATGTGACAAAGCCTTTCAGGAAGCTCTTTGTCATCTCTGCCCACCTTCCTCAGGCTGCAGCTTCCTTTCCTCCTGCTCCGGGAAATACTTTCTTATCAGGACCCCTCTTGGCATAGCTGGACCACAAGGAAGGCCACGTGGAAAGCTGAGAAGGCCCGCGTGGGCTCAAGTGGGCAGGCTGCAGGATGCAGGTGCTCTGAACTCCCTGTCCTCGTGGCCCCAAGCCGAGCAGGCTGGGATGCCAGCATTACCCACTTGGAAGATGCCAGGCTGCGTCTCGGATGGGCAGCACTGGCTGAGGTCACAGAGCGTGCTGTGAGCGTGGGGTCGGGTGCTTGCCCTGACCCTGCTCCCGTTTGATGCAGGTCTCCAGCGGACTTTGGCGTGAATGCTTCTCATCTGCCTAAACTTCCTTCCCTGAGTCCTCGCTTTCCATGCACACGTTGGTTGTTTTTCACCCTCCTCAACCCTCGGAGCTGTCCCATCAGGGGAAACCCGTGCCACCTCTGGAACGGAGGAGGGAACCCAGGGCCCTGCATGTGGGAAGCACTTGCTCCACCCCCTGGGAAGCGCTTCCTCTGTGCAGGGCAGGTGGGCTGGACTTGTCTGTGTCTCTGTCAGTCTATGTGAGCTGAGGTTGACAGTAACTGCATTTGAGGATCAGTGTAATAACAACCAGCTTTTCAATAAAGCAATCACCATGTGCAAAGCATAATTAAGTACTTGGCCTGTTTATTCCACATGACCTGCTCTGCACCCTTTGGAGGCAGGTGTTTTCTTATAATAGACAGGAAACAGGTGTGGGCGGGTTACACCACGGATCGGATCACAGAGGAGAAGCCGGGACTTGGACTTGCTGGTGTGGCTCATAAGCCGTCCTGTAACTGCATCCCCATGGGAAACCAGCGGGCTCGGCATGGGCCCGGCTTCCGGGACCAGCAACCAGCATGGCGGCCTGCCTGATTTGGCCCCGGGGCTCAGCGTTTGAAGAACCCTGATCTAACCCCCAAGCTGACAGGGACCCTGGTCTGCAGAAGGGGCTCGGCAGGCGTGGGGTGGGCCTGGAGTCCCAGCCACTCAGGAGGCTGAAGCGGGAGAATTGCTTCAGCCCAGGAGTTTGAGACCAGCCTGCACAACCAGTGAGGACTCATCTTTAAAAGAGGGTCTACTTGTATAGTGTGGACCAAATGAGTTCTTATTATAAAGCACTTAAGAATGTTACCTAAGCTGGGCATGGTGGGACATGCCTGTGATCCCAGCACTCAGGAGGCTGAGTCAGGAGGATCACTTATAATAAGCCTAGGAGTTTGAGATCAGCCTGGGCAACACAGTGAGAATCCATCTTAAATAAATAAATAATTTGAAAAAAGAAGAGATTATATCACTAGTAAATTGGAGGGTTACACAAAAGTTATTAATAAGTACTTTTTCTTTGTAACTGATACACAAAAAGATTATTGTTAAGTTCATTATTTACAGTCCAATCGCATCACAGTGTTAAATTAACGAGGACGTACAGTAGGAATAAATACTAAATGAGCAAAATGGTGGCTGATAAATGACAGCAAGCAGCACAAAGAAAAACAAATGCGACTTTTTATATCCAGTAATTTGGGGGATGGAAGTTGATGAAGATTCTTTTAAGTCGGAGTAAGTGCTTGCTAAACATGAAACACCAGAGCGTTCCTTTTTTTAAAGAAAGTAAACGTGAAACTCCCACTTCCTCCTCCTATAAGTCTTGCGCGTCCAGCACAGGAGGGCGGACGCGGGCTGGGCTGGGCCGGCTCTCTCTCACGGCAGCTGCGTCTGGGGGCGCCTCGCACCGCCCGTCTTTTTAAAATTTTAAGAACCGCCAGTGTCTTCACAGCAGGCAGATCAGGCAGGCGCTCCGCCAGGGTCACCCGCAGATCTAAGGCGCCGTCACCACCCCTGGTTGACACGAGTTATTTTCAGCACTGTCATCTATTAGACAAAATGACTGTCAACGCTGATCGTGAACAGGAATGTTTTTTCTGGAGACAAGGTCTCCTCGTGAAATTCCGACTGGCCTTGAATTTGCAGTGATCCTCCTGCCTCAGCCTCTGAGTGCTGGGATTATAGGCACTCACCACCAGGCCCAGTTGAAATGGTTACATTAGCCTTTTCCAAACAAAACAGAAATCTCGCCTGTAATTTGCTCTTTTCCACTATCAAACACAAATTAAAAGTTCAAGCAGACAGAAATAACTCCAGTTATTCCTTTGTCTACACTGTTTTACGAATTTCTACTCTTTAAATTTTGGCAGCTATATCAGTTCACTTTTTATTACCACAATGAAATACCTGAGATATTTTAAAAGAAAAGAAGTCGAGCTAGGGATTTAGCTCAGTGGTTCTGTGCCTGTCTCGAAAGCGCAAGGTCTCAAGTTCGATCCCTGAAAAAAAAAAGAAAAGAAGTCACTGAGCACGGTGGTGCAGGCCAGTGATCCCAGCTCTCTAGGAGGCTGAGGCAGGAGGATCACAAGTTTGAGTCCAGCCTGGGCAGCTTAGCAAGACTGACCTGATAAAAAATAAAGAAAGGAGTGAGGATGCAGCTCAGTTCGGAGGCCCTGAGTTCAGTCCTCGTAACACGCGCGCACGAAGTTCGTGTGGCTTGTGGTGTTGATTGGATGATGGGATGAGCCGGGGCTGGTTCATCCTGCACAGGCGTAGATTTCTTGGAGGAGGAGCTTGGACCCAACTGGGTCTGTCTGGAGGGACAGAGCAGCTGGTCCAGGGAGGGGCCACACTGGCACCCCACTGCAGTTGTCAGGATTAAATTCTGTGTGTACTATGTTTGTTAAAGGCTAAATTAGCTGGATGTAGTGGTGCATGCCTGTAATCCTAGCACTCAGAGGGTGAGGCAGGAGAATTTCAGAGTTTGAGGCCAGCCTGGGTTACATCTGAAACTGGTTTAAAAAAATAAAAAAAGCCTAAGATATAAAAACCTATTAATTTGAAGTTCACATTTTTTTTGGTACTGGGGATGGAACTCGGGACCTTGCGCTTGCGAGGCAGGCAGTGGAACCACTGAGCTAAATCCCCAGCCCTTGAAGTTCACATATTTTTGAAACTCAATGGTCACTAGTGAATTTGTTTTGGTTAAGAAGTTAGAACAGGGCTGGGGTGTATGTAGTTCAGTGATAAAGCACTTGTCTAGCATTTGTGAGCTCCAGGGTCCATCCCCAGGATGGCAAAAAATTGAAAACAAAACAAAAACCCCCTTGGGGGCTGGGGATTTAGCTCAGTGGTTCCAGCGCCTGCCTCCCAAGTGCAAGGTCCCAAGTTCTATCCCTGGTAGCAAAAAAAAAAAAATAAAAAAC